CAGTACAAATCAGTGTCAAACATGGTGAACTGACAAACCAAATACTAGTTTTTATTTTAAAGTTACTCTGGGGACTCTTCTGGTTTAATTCCCATTTGTAAAATATTTGATAGTGAATTCACAAGGATTTTATTTTTAATAAACTAATGGAAAATACTTGTGTGCTTCTGGATTGATTCTCAAAAGGCAGAATAGAGTAACTATGGCTTCCTAGCTCGTAATGAGAATCAGTGCATTGAATAGGTGGTATTATGCACTGCTTGGTTTTGGTTTTTAGTCTGTTCTTCTAATTATCTGGTTTTCTCTAACATAAATCAGAATGGATTCAGTAAGTTTTGTAAACTGAAATGAAACACTGAAGTAACTCCCCCTTGCCTGTACCCTGGATTGTTTTCCAAGCACAGCACTCTAGTGACCAAACTTAAGCAAACAGATTTTGTAACTTTGCCTACAGTGTAATTCATACACAACAGTTTTTCTGAATAGTAGCAAACTGAAAATGTTCTTTGGGTTGATAGAAGCCATGTGCTAGAACAGCTCATTGGTTGTGTAAATGCTGCAAGGGCTGGTTCGCATGGCAAAGGCTATTGCTGCAAGGCACCGACCCGGACAACAGAATCCTGGTAACACTTTACCTCAGAACTGTAACATGCTGGAAATCATAATATTTCTGTTCTATTTAAGTACTAGTTGTTTTACTTCAAAACTAATCCATCAGCAAGCCTGACTAATTTTCAGGTAATGGGCACTCATTAATCTGTAGCCTAACACCAGTGTTCATCATGCTTTTCCATCACCAATCTCATAAGCACTACTGAAGATGATAAGAAAACTGACAGTGGTGACAGAACAGTAACAGAGAATTGCAGTACTACTAGTCTAGCTCGAGGTGCTCTTCTGGTTAGTGATCTGCCAGGGATTGTGGGATCTCTTCTAGCTTAGGACAAGATTTACTTTGAGGAAAAGAGATGAGAAACTAACTTTAGGTCCTGTAACACATTGGTTTTGTTAAGGCTAATTTGTATTTTTCCTCTCACGTGGATATTTACTGGGACTATTTGTTTTTTCAGTAGCTGCATTCTAAATAACAGACTTAATTCCAGGTTTACCAGTTGCCCATTTAGGCTTAGATTGCAAAAGAAACATAATGAACTGTGTGTTCTTACAGTAACACGGTTTGTTCTGAAGTATTTTTTCCAGTTGCAGCTCATGAAAGCCCAGATGCTTGAACTTTTCCAATCACAATTATTTTAAGATACCAAAAGAACATTTTTCACCTGGTTTTATTATGCAAATCTTGCCTTTTTAATACGAAAGATGCAAATTGAATCAAGTAGCAAATACCCTGCAGTCTTTGTAGATGTGGTTTTGTCAAGACTGTATAAATGGTGAATATTTGTACACTTGGAAAGAGCTAATAAAAGCAACAAGAGGAGTCTTAATAGCTGCTGTTGCACTAGAATCCGAAGTTCTTGTCAAGCAGCTTCTTAGGCAACTGATACGTTAATGCAACTGTTTTTCACCATTCAGTTCTAAGCCGAAATGTGATTTTGTTTCATAGATGATAGAAATATGAGTGTTTGCTTTCGGACGAGATAGACATTTCAGCTTCTCGAAGCTCTTTAAGGAAAATAGGTAGAACCTATGTTCATGAACATGTAGATGAAATCCTTTTGTGGCCTTTGTTTAATCCTCTTCTGTTTGTTCCCTCCCTCCTCCCGGATGCGTGCAAAAAAGAATCATTGCTAAGACTGTTGGTCACTATCTTTTGTCTCTCCTTGGCTGTGGTTTTGGTCTCTTGTGCATAGGCAGGTGTTAGAACTAGAATAATCATTTCTAGAAATACACCGTGAAAGCAGAATGCTCAATTACACTGTGTTCTCCTGGTGCATTTACACATTATATCACACTAAAAAGTACAACTGGCTGCTATGGTTTTTTAATCTCTCTTTCATTTTGGTAAACCCCAGCCTTTTTACTAATATTTGCCCTGGTTAAATCTTGTTAATCTGTTTGAATTGTATTTGTTAATAATGCAAATATTTCTAATCATCTTAAGAGTAAAACACTTCATTTTTTTGTGTTAATGGTTTTGGAGAAGGATTCTAACCAAACCAGTTTGAAGACAAATATGAACATGTGCCATTGTATTATAACACTATCCACTTTCTTGACAGTTAAAAGTCTTTTTTTATTTTTTTTGTAGCATGTAATGTATATGTTCATAGTACGTGAAGTAAATAAAAAGTATAGCCAAAACTTTGACTTGGTGTCATTCTCAATCAGCTCTCATTGGGATACTTGTATTGGAAATAGAGCAGTGGGTATGGCATTTTGAATTGGCCATACTCATATGAAAACAACATAGATGTAAGTCAAACCAAGGTCACTAAAGTGACTCATAACCAAGTAAGAAACAAGAAAAATAGAGGTTTTACAGTCAAGTAAAATCACCAATAAAACCAGGGTAACTTTCTGTAATCAAATTATTTACTTGAGTCAAGGGGGTGGGGGAAAAAGTGTATCTCACTGCAAAAGAGGGCTCATGAATGTTGTAACGGGTTAGGATGACTTCCCTCTGAGGGTGAAAGAGCACTATTTCAATGGAAAGCTACAATGTGCAGTCTACTGTCAAAGGAGGAAGCACCAAAATGTCTATATCCCCTGTGGGAGAACATTTGTAACATGAACCTGCATTAGACCTACTTTTGCCATTGTAATCCTTAAAAAACTGTAAGGGGACAGTGGCCTCTCAGCCACAAGGATAAGCATCTCGGTGGCAATACTGTATATAAAGCCAGTTTAATTTGGGGTGTACACCACAGCACAGCTCCAGCTCCACACCAGTGGGTTCCTATTAAATTTTCATGGGTAAAAGTGCTGCCCCCAGCTTTGCTCCAGTGTTCATACAACTTGGCTGCAGCAGAGCTGCAACCCAAGAGGGCCTTTTAATGAGATTACCTGAGATAATTCAGTAGGAAGAGGTTCCATAGACCCTTCCACACTGCACCTCTGCTGCTTAACCTTGGCCTGGTATGAGTGTCTGCTGCTGCAACACACAGCTTGTGCAGAAACCTATTGCCTTGCCTTTCCCCCTTTACAACAACTGTTTTGAGTGCAGCAGTGGTAAAAGTTGAAGGTGCAAGGGACAAGCAGATTGCATCAGCAAATGATGTTGCATTTCCCTGCATTAGACTGTTTATTCTTTGTGATTGCCAAATCCCTGACCAACACCCAAATATTTGCATGCCATCTATAACAAGTGCATTCAAATATATTTAGGGTATTTAGACAAATAGGTTATCATTTAGCAAGTGTATCAACTTTTGCCAAAGAAGCATGCTGAAAGTGGCCTCCTTTATATGTATTGTTGAGGTTTCTACAACTTGAGTAGCTGCTGAACATGAGGATCACGGAAAAGTGCATCTAAATTGGTGCAAATCTGATCGATACTATGCACAGTTTCTATATAAAACTAAGCCTCAGTTGCAGAAATAGACTTTTTTGTGGTCAAGATTATGAAGTGCAGAGGTGATTTTCCATTTCAGAATGATTTTTAGTATATTGATGCAAATACATGGTGACTGTATACCGCTGGGGTCTTTTGGGTGCCTGCCTGAACTGCTTTTGTAGTATTACTATGTATTTAACAAAGAATTCAGAGGTAAATACGTATAATGAGTCCCAATTTTAACATTTTTTGACCATATTTTCACTACATTGAAAATAGCTTTTTTTTCTTGACATCTGCTTTTGACCTTAGTCCAGACACACCAATATCTTTGTTTTTTCTTTGATGGAGTTGTGATTTGAGATTAGGAAAAGAGTTGAGGGCCAAAATATCCCCTGGAAAGAGACCATCGATTTTGTGGGCTGGCAAACAGTGATAGAAAAAGAATCTCATTATGGTTTTAGACTTATTTGTACGAAACCCATAAGGTTCTGTTCATTTTACACACCAACTGAAATACTTGTGTTAAAATGAATGAGGAAACAATAGCCTATAAAATACATGCTTCAAACGGTGCTTTAGGTTTGTGCCCTCAGTCACCCCTCAGGAACCTTCTTCAGTGGGCACAATACAGTAAATAAGAGGGTACCCGATGCTGTGTCCAAGAGGTGCCAGTGCTGCTCAACCTCTGCCGCGTATCAAAGGCTGCCAGGATCTTTGTGCGCTTCCACACCTCGGGAAGGCCGAGTCTTTATCCTGCCCATCCGGAGACACTGGGGAAAGACAGATACAAAACTTCATTCCCAGCGACCCTCAGCAAATCTTTGAAGATGACATTAATGCTTTATTCTCTTTTAGTTTCCTCAGACCATTCTGATGTCAGAAATTGAGGTGTTCTCTCAATTATTTCAGAGCTTTCTCCGGGTTTTTTTTCTTCATAAGTACTAAGTGAACTAGTGAAAAATGCAATTTTAACTTCCAGTTCTCCCAGCCTCTTAAAACTGTGAAATTACCATGTCCCACGTCAGACACAGCACTGGAGGTGATACTTTGCTTGAGTAAACAGCCTGGAGAAACCGCAGCAAGCTGCCAAATCGGCCCTTCTGCCTTTCATTGCTTAGATTCACCATTGTGTGCGGAGCATACCCAGTGGTTTGTACGGAATCACACACCCAGGTATTCAAACAGCGTTCGAGGGCAGCAGAAACGCGTTCCCTCAGAGGAACGGGAGCGCTGAGGCAAACGCCGTTCCCCGTGAGCACCCTCCGCCTGAGGGCTGGCGGCCCACCCTCAGGCGAGGGAAGGCCCGCGGGAACCCCCCTATCAGCCCGGCCCCACCCGCCATCGGCAGCCCCGCACCTCGCCCCGCCGCCTCCTCTAGAACAACGGCACCCTCTCGGCTGCGGCCCTGCCACAGCCGGGCGGGGAAGCGGCGGCTCCGGCTCCGGCCCCGCCATCGCCGGCTGCCGCCTCACGGCCGCGGCCCCCGCCTCCCGCCCGTTGCTAAGGAGCCGCCGTTGCCATGGGAGGCCGCAGGACGCATGCGCGCACTTGCGGAAGTGCCCGGATGCAGCGGGAGGAGGTGCTGCCGCCATATTTGCCCGGAGAGCAGCGAGCTGGTAGCTGCTGAGCCCCCCAGACCCATCGGCTTCCATCCGCCCCGTGCAGTCCCCGGCGCCGCCCCTCCTGCAGGACATGGACGATCGGGAGGACCTCGTCTATCAGGCCAAGTTGGCTGAGCAGGCCGAGCGCTACGATGGTGAGCGCTGGCCGAGGCCGTGCAAGGCCAAGGGGAGAGGGAGGGAGCGGCCACAAAATGGCGGCTGGGCGGGGGAGGGGGGGGCAGGGGCGGAGGAGGAGGGGGGCCCAGACAAAATGGCGACGAGAAGCGCCCCAAGGGGGTGGTGGAGCTGGGGATGGGGGCCCTGAACGAGTGGGTGTCTTGGGCCTGGGCGGGGCCCGCTTCGGGGGGGCGGTGGCGGCAGAAGCCGGGAATAAAATGGCGGCCGCGAAGGGCGAGTCCCGGGTGGGGGGGGGGAGAAGGGGAGCCGCCCCCGCCTCGGGGGGCGCGACAAAGAGACCTCGTTGCCCCTCATCGTGCCTCTGACCGCCGCGGCCTGAGGCGGTTCTGTTCGGGCCGGGCCTCGCGGCGGCGTGGGGCTCAGGTCGGCTCGCCGCAGACAACGCCCAGTGCCGTGCTCTCCGGAAGGTGGGTGCCCGGCTCGCTCGGCCCCTCGGGAGGGGATGCTGAGGAGAGGCTCGCTCGCACTATGGGGTCCCCGAGGGAGGGGGTTAGCGCTTTTCTTTCTCTTCCTTTGCCTTCGGTTGGACATACTGCTCCTGGCAAACCCAGAGAGCGAGCGAGCTCTCACCCTGGAGGGATCGAGTCCATGATACTTCATTGCCTAAAGGAAATGTGTGTGCTTTCATTATGTGGTAGGCATTATTACAGATCGCTTTATTTTTCCTACCTTTGTCTTTTAATCCTTTTCCCCTGTAACTTTGGGCGCAATTCCTGATCATATCTGGCTGAAAAGTGGCAGAGTGGAGGAACTGGTACCCCTGAATGATGTCTCTAGCTCCCAAAATGTCTGTTTCATTAACTGTGTTCCCCTTGCATATAATAGAAAGGGCCTTTAATTTTCTCAATGGCTTTACTCTTCGGGGACTGTTACTTTTGCCTTATGCTTACTCATTTAAAATGAAATAAACCCCTTTGTAGGTTACATTTCATTTAGAAGTAGGAAGACACGCCAGATATTTGCTCTTTGTAATTCTCATGGACAGCATAGACAAAATTGACCAAATTCTGACCAAATGACATATTTTTACAGAGTTGTGCTTAAAAAGCTCCCAGTAACACTATTGCAGATCACCTGAACAAGGCATGTTTTGGGGAGGAAAACAGAAACTGTAACAAAAAAAAGAAGAGCCTAGACAGGACTCCCTTTCTGTGACCATTCCAGCAGGGAAATGAGGTAGAACTGAGACTTCCAGTACATGGGAGGAGTCAGTCTTCACAATAAGTGTAAGAAGTAACAGAAAAAAATACCCCCCCTCCAATCCAGGTGTTGGGGTGCAACATAATTGACTTGTGTGGAGGGATACATGCAGTTCCATAGTCCACAGTAAGTAGGACTTAGTGGGGATTGGGGGTTTTTTCAGTGTCTTAATTACCTACCCTAAAGGATGTGAGATGATCCCCCTCTGATCCCCAATTCCAGTAGCATTCCTGGCCTTGGATTGGTGGGTAGGGAGGAAAGGGTTCTCCACCTGGTACAGATGAGTCAGTGCAACTGAAAGTGTTGGCTTTGGTTTGAGTGGAAACCCAGGCTGGTTGCTTGGCCAGCATCCTGGAGGATTCATCATCTTTGGAAGTTTTTGAGGCAGGACTGTCTTTCTGGTGTTGCGTTAAGTCAGTGGTAAATCAGTTCTTTGGACAGTAATCAGCTTCTACCCCATTGTAGAGATCTGCAGTGCAAACCAACCAGACTTCTGTCAGCTAATAACAGTCAGTTAGTAGGCAATTGCCTTGGTGCAGCATTTCCCTCAATGGACTTTCTGTTCTACCAGCATCATGGATATGGGTGAAACAAGGTGGCCAGATGAAAATGTGGAACGTTTCTTGCACAGTACTGTATCTGAATGGTGATGAGACTGTTACTGTTTAGGAAGAGCACTAAACTTAATCAGTGCTGTGGCTTTTAGACTTGCAAAGTTTGTTGGAATCGAGCTGAGTAAATAAATTCAAAGCGCACCCTCCAGTTCTGCTTCCAGTTCTAAATGTATCTCCATGGCTCTTACATCCAAAGCCTGGAAGAATATGTACTGTAGGTACTGTTTCAGCATCTAATTCTGTATTCTTGTTCAGTGAAACAGTAAACTATTGGCATAATTCTTGTTTCTGTGAAATACTGAGTTCTGCCAAGATAGCTGTTCAGTAATTCCCTGGACAAAATTGTTGGAAAGCAGTATGGTAAAATAAGTTAAGTCTTAATTTTGCTCTTCAGTTTGGTCTTTGAGATAGATGACCATAAAGTAACGGTTATTCACTGACGTGTATAAAATGGTGTGATGGTAAGTACTGTCCACAGGTCTGTGGGAATGCAGATCTTGTGTGTAACTTGGGTATGAGTGTGGAATGACCATATTTCAAGTTCAGTAGCAGGGTAACATTAAATTTTGTTCCATCTTCCTGTGACTTCAGAAGGGTGGTGTGTGGTGGGTTGTTTTTTTTGTGTGGTTCATGGTATTTATAGCAGCACTTATGGTGGGCATCTGACTGGAGCTTCTTTGGTGCTACTTACCTGACCCATTTAGAGAATCTGTGAAGTCTTGGAAGCTGTGTGTGGGGACTTGTTGGGAGTTAATCCTGTGTCCATGCTGTCCTCAGTATATTGGCCCAGATTAAGGGGACAACTTTCTAGGTACTTCTGTGGTGTAGGTAGCACTTAAGCCCTGATCTCTGGAGATATTAAGAGATTTGGGTAACTATCTTCACAGATCTGCTTAAGCATGTCATGACAAATCACAAAATGCCAGGAAGCTTACTTGAAATACAGGAAGCTTTGTGAGAAATCTCACTTAGTGCTGTTCCTTCAAAGACTGTTATTAATAGAATAATACATTAACTATAACCTATTTTTTCTTCCCCAGAAACAATTGGAGTAGGTAACATGATGTTGTTTTTTGACATTATCTTACATTTGAGTCATTTATATTAAAAAAAATGAGTGTATCTTGAGTCTTGTAGACTGCTGCTGAATGTTGAAACCATTTCTTCATTGCGGAAGCTAAGTAATGTATTTTAATCAGGGGAGAAGCAAGCTGTGATTGTAAGCAAGAACTTAGACTCTGAACAGCAGTTTTGTACTAGCTGTCTTGAAGTATATGACTTAAGATTTAGATGTAGGGTAATTTAGGTGAGGTGAAAGGAGTGTGGGTAGGTTGTTTGTCCCCAAAAGCAGATACTAGGTCAAAGCACAGGTAAGAAGGGAAAAAAAGCCCAAACTATTGGACAGCTCTCCTGATTCTCAATACATCAGGTTAATAGCAGACTCTGAATATCTTTATCTGTCTAAAAATCATCTGTCAGGGAAATGTGTCTATTACAAAGTCAGTAGTGTGTGCAGCAGTGGTCTCCATTCAAGATTTGAACCTGTTAGTATCTCTTTGCAGAGGACTTGTCTCTTTCAGGCAAATACCAAGCACACTTTATGTTGTTTGACTTAATGTCAAATAACATGATTGGGTTTTGTGCCTGGTTTTTTTTTTCTCCTTCCCCCCACGTTAATGGATAGTACTTATACCTGTCTGTCAAAGGTCTTACTGTTCTAGTGACGTGGGCTATGACTGCTCTCTTTGTCTCAGAATTGGGTAGATGTGAAAGTGCTAGAAGGCAGAAAAATCTCAGCGTATTCCTAAGAAATGTAGAAAGCTAAGAGGTAGATAAAAAGGGGCAAGGCAATGAGATTGGAGTTAGGAGGAATTGGGTTTTTTAAGTGATAATTGTTCACATCCTGGGCCATAGAAGTTGACTTCTTCTCATGAGGAGCTGTGTGAGAGGGCCTTCTAGAACTGGCTTCTTGAATCTCCTGAGGTACCAAGAGCAACCAAAGGAGACAAACATCTATAATTAGATGGTTTGATTCTCTGCAAGGAGTCCAGAAGCTGAGTAGGTGTCCATTACATTTGAGTACACTTGAGTGTATTAGCAGATTAGTTGGTAGCAGATCTCAGTCAGGCTGAGAAATACACTCAGTCTTTAGATTTGCCTGTGTATTGCTTTAAACTAAATCTTTTGCTACAGGTACCAGAAAAACCCTGGTTTACTTAGAAAAGCATATGTTCACAGCTTGAAGAGGTGATAGTGGTGACTTAGAAATCACATTCATGTTGCAAGAAAGACTGGGGATAGTCCATAGGATCTGTTATTCAGAAAATGCCAGTGTTGCTTGGATAATTTAGCCATAGCCCATCTATTTCTCTGAGTGCATAAAGGTAGGAGTATGCTTTTTAGAATTGTTTATTGCAGAGTCATGCAATCAGATGTTGGCAGTATCTTGGCTGTGCCAGCTGTATACAGTGAATATTAGTATAATCTGCTGCTTTGTCTGCAAAACATAGTCTAAGCCACTGTGCAGGATGGGTATTCCTTGGTATTTTTTTACTCTTCTGCCTGTTGGTTGTCTTAACTTGTGGGAATGTAGCTGTTGGGTTCTTTCATGCTTGTATAAAACTTGATCCTTTTGGTACTGTATGCTGTAGATAGGGAGTTTAAGATTGGGTTATCAGTTTTTAGTGCCTCAGTAGTTGCACCTTGCTTTTAATACTTACTGTACTCGCGATGCTTCGAGCATATGAAAATCTTGAAGAGAAATCTCAAACCTGTGTAGTGTATGGGGAATGCTGTAATGGGTAAATGCTGTGTTCATTTTATGCTTTTGGAACCACAGTGCAGTGCTGCATAGTGTGGTGAGCTCTCTTCCCTGGTTATTTTTCTCTACTTCTATAACTATAACTTGGGTTCTAGTCTGACTCTTAAAGCCTGTTCAGTTCTCTAAATTATAAGCTTATTTGTTGATTTTCTGGGTGGCTGTTTTCTGAGCTGGTGACCTGAGCCAGCCAGTTGAGAGGTCAAAAGAAGTGTTGGGCTCTGAAAGCTGAGAATTGATAGGGATAGAGGGAAAGCCTCCCCCTCAAGCTCCTGGCAGGTGTAACTGTCTCTTAAGTCTCACTTGCCAAGTGCAGGATTTCTTAAGAGAACAGAAAAACCCAGTGTGGGTAATGTAACAGTGTGTTCAGAAGAATAGTTCCTAATGGATGAAAAGATGAGCTCTACCTTCTCTTGGCTTAAATTTGGAGCTGATAGTTGCAGTGAGTAGGATGGTGCCCACTGATGCTGAGTGGAAGCTTACAGTTGTAGAAGAACTCAATCTGTGGGCATTAATCTTCACAGATACACTCATCACTTAATGAAGAAAATACGTTTGCCACTGTTTCTTCAGCTCTTTTTGTGTTTGTTCTTAGCACTTTGCTGCCTCTGCTAAGTTAGTACTTGCTGTTTCCTCCCATTTTTCTGGATCACAAATGTTAGCATGTTCCCAGCATAGATCACTGTGTGATTTAACTGGTGATCTTTCTAGTTCTGAACACTTGAGTTTTATTTCATACCCTGTTTCCTGTCTTTCAGCCAAGTGTTTATCCTGTTTCATGGCAGTTTTGTTCCTCAAAGAACCTTGGGTGAGGGACCTTGTCAAATGCTTTTGGGAATCCAGGTAGACTGTGTCAATCCATCCTTCCTTGTCCATATGCTTGACTCATTCAGAGCATCACAGAAGATTTGTGAGGTGTTACTTGCTTTTCCAGGAGGTCATGCTCTACCTTATAGTGTTTATGCATATACCCACTTACTCAGTAATTCCTGTTAGCTTAACCTCTTGCGAGCATTAAGTTAATGGTTCTGTAGATCCTCTTGACTGTCTCCTGGAGCCCTTCTTGAATATTAGCAGTCTTACAGCTGCTTTGTGTTTGCTGTTAGAGTCTTAAATGAGATATTATATCCAACAGTTTAGAATGAAATACTTTCGTTTGAAGTCTTACGACTTACTACTGCTCTTCTTTCATTCATTCCAAGAATGAACAAGTACAAGACTAGTACTGAGTCTTTGAATAGTGGTTATGGTGCATGATCTTCTGTGGTGAACACATGTGGGAAGATTCCTTTCTCCTGTATTCATATCCTTGCATCACACTCAGCTTTTAGTAGACACTTGCTACTCCTTTGGTATAGTCTACTCCTGCTTAAGTTTTATATCCTATACTGCAAAGATTTACATAGAAGTTTCCTTATCTACTGTGCCCTTTGTGCAAATTCTGTGTGTTGGCCCCTAGCAGATGGTTATCAAACATACACTTCTCAATACATGTAAAATTTCCCATTGCTTTTAGCTTAGAGTAAGGGATAATCTGTTGTCTTTCACATCAAAACAAAAAAATCCCCAATCCCAAGCAATGTACCAGGCTGTTTTAAGTATCTTTCTTAGGTAGTGCTCAGTGTAGTGGTGACCACTGGCCAGATCCTTTGTGCTTTCCAAGCTGTGTATGCATGTCTCCACTGTTACTGCACAGTGGCTGGAGGTGAGTCAGCTATCTTTGCAATGAGGTGAACCTTAATCATAATAGTAGAATTTAGGAACTTTAAAAAAAAACTGTCGTGGGTGTTATTGTAGTTTTGTAGTATCTTAATTGCTTTGAGTCTTAGTTAAATGCCCTTTTTTGTTAGCATATACAAACCTGATCAGAGCAGATGTCTGTTGTGATGCTTCTTGTAACAACCAGCAGCAAGTGCCTGGGGAAGAGTATAAATCTCGGGTGTGTCATTCTCCAGAATATTCCCTTACCCTTCCACATCTTATACTTTGGGGATTTCCTGCTCTGATGGTAGGATCTGACAGCATAATAAGGTGACAGCCACAATCATCTGAAAAAACCTGGAAGGTAACCACTGAGACCACAGTATTTGTCTTTCTGAACCTGCATAACACTAGTTTTTCCAATAATGTAGCGTAAGCATCTCTGTGTGTGCAGTGAGTTGTCATTGCTGCAGTAATCCTTGTTACTAAAATGTAATCTCAGACTTGCATTTTTGTCTTGAAAGGTCTCTGAGGTTTTCACATCAAGGTGAAAGGTAAAGCTGTACTTAAATATTTGTTCTGTTAGCAGGCATAGATGCCTTTGTTAGAATTAGTTCTCTATTGGAGAAGATACAGTTATGCTGTCCTTTTGCTTTTGTATTGCTGAGTGATTAAAGGCTTAAACTTTCAGGGCTGGATTATGGCTTTACTGTGGAAGACCAAGGTATGTGCATAATACTACTTTGTCTTGTTGAAATCTCAGCCCAGATAATAGTATTCAAAGTCAAATTTGGCTGTTTGCTAAACTAGAAACATTCTTCTCCAACAGCTTTGTAGGTAGGCTGATAAATCTTTTCTGCTTGGGCAAGATACTTGTTTATGGGTTGGATTCTCATCTGTAATATGTGCTCTGCTCAATGGGTAAATCACAGCTTGTAAAGGTTTTATTAAATCCTTGGTAGATTTTTTTTGTTACTATCTGTGATTTGGAGAAACTAAGTCTACTGTTGGAGGTAGGGATTTTCTCCCCCCTATGGTAAGGGAGTCACTACAGAATGTGGGGACCTGTTGGAGACTGATAATGTTGTTCCTGCCAGGAGAAAAAGACTGAGCTTACGTTTTCTGTTGCTGACGTGCCTTATGCCTGTGAAGATGGTAAGTTTTGGCACCCAAGGACAAAAATGACAGTTAAGTTTCATGAGTTTCCCACTGCTCGTGCTGCCATGACACAGCAGAACATCATGACATCAAATGGTGGGGGTGGAATGATGAGTAGGCAGGATAAATAGGCCACAGAACAGTGAGGCAAGTAGGCTGTGTCACCTTATGCATCGCCATGCTTTTAGCAGACTTAAGTAGTCATTCTAGTGTCCCTTTACCTGGCATATAGCTGAGAAACTGTTATCCTGTTGAGTAGGTGATGTAGTTGAGTCTTAATCTCATTCATTAATGCCCTTCTTTTCATCTGTGGGATTCCCAGCAGTCTTTGAAGCTGGAAGGTAAATGGTGAATGAGATGAAGCACTGTGTGGCAGGACAAAACCTTTGCCTCCTGAGTGTCTCATCCTAGCCTCTCAATTAGGGTCTGTTTAACACTTTTGTCTTTTATTTTTCTATGTCACAAGCAATCATACTGTGGTTAGGTAATGAAAGGATTATAACCTTCCTTAAGTGGTTCAAGTATTTGCTTCCACTTGAGTAGAGGAAAGCTGTATTTAGTCATAATTGTTTTAACCTGAGGTTTAGAAGTCCTTTCCGAAAGGTTTAAACTATAAATATCAAATATTTGATATTTTGTGTGTTAATTTTCAGTGTAAGTAGCTGCTTGGCATGGGTAGATATGGTTCCTCTGGGTATCCTCAGGATGACTGTTTTGTTGCTTCTCTGAGTGCCTCATTTCTCATTTGGTGGTTCCCTTTGGCACTTTGAGTTGCTTTCTTAATGACAGTACTCACACTTCATCTGTTCAAATCTGGATGTTAGACTGTATTCCAGTTGACACATCACTGGAGCCTTCTGTACTTCTTCAGTTTATTCTCACTGTGCTGAAAGCCAGGTTACATTTGTTCATGTTCTTCTCGCTATTTGTTGCCTTTTCTGAAGCACTTTGAAGAACTGGCATTCCTGTAGGATTGGACTGGTAACTCTGATCCACTGTGGAAAGCATGCTTGCTGCTAAATCCTTTTGTCTGTCTCTTAACAACCCCCTAAAAAACCCACCCAAACCAAAACCTAAACTATCTGTAAAGGCTTTTTTGGGGGACCCTTGTCAAACACTTAAAAGAACATCAGATACTTCCTTTGTGCACATGTTCATTGATTTGTTTGGAACACTCCAGCATAAAAGTGAGGCAGACTGTGTTTGAAAGGAGGAGGGAAGCTGTTTTCATAAGCTATCATTAACTTGCAACTTATATCAAGTGGTTTGACAGATGCTTTAACTCCGAGAATAATTGTCTGGCCTTTTCCTCCTAGAAATGGTTGAGTCAATGAAGAAGGTGGCTGGAATGGATGTGGAGTTGACAGTGGAAGAAAGAAACCTGCTTTCTGTCGCATATAAAAACGTGATTGGCGCCAGAAGAGCTTCCTGGAGAATAATCAGCAGCATTGAACAGAAAGAAGAAAACAAAGGTGGAGAAGACAAATTAAAAATGATCCGGGAATATCGGCAAATGGTAAGATGTAGTTGGTGTTGCAGCATAATGCCACTTAGTTAAGGTCCAGTTCTGTTATCCTTGCCATAACTCTCCTGATACTCTAGATTGGTAGCAGTGTGGTGACCTGTTATAAGGTGACTTTCTTGGGAGGATGAAGTTTGTTCCTTTTCTGGAGGATAAATAACACTTGGTGAAGGGGGGAGGTTGAGTGTTTCTGTGTAAACACTCACAAGGGCAGTAGACTGGAAGGAGAAAGGGAGGGTTTTCCTTCAGTGCAGCTGTTATTTGCTAAGCATTTGAACTAGGCTGGCACTTTCTCTTCCTTGCTTCAGTGTGAGGCTGCATGTGCTCAAGAGGCCTTTCTCTTTCCCTTCCAACCTGATTTACCCCAACCACTGTTGTTGTGAAAATTAACCGTGTCAAAGGTATGTTTGGCTGTTAAGCTTCTACCTCTGATAAAAGCTGCTTTGGATCATTCAGACTTTGACACCTGGGGCTGTTGCAGTACTCTGCCTTACAGAGTTGAAGGCATTAACACTGCTAGTTGAAATGCCAGTGGGGAAGGATCTTCGGTGGTGGTCTTGGCACAAAGATGGGCAGTGTGAAGCCAAATGGCCACTTTCTTTGACTCCTTATCACTGTGATGGGTGCATTTCATGTACATTAGCCTTATTTTCTTCCTTTTTCCCTTGAAACTAAGTGCTTTGCAGAAGAACAGTTGCCTGGTTAGGCTTGAGCATCTCATTCTTAATGTGTAGAATTTTAAGTTTCGTTTTGTCCTAAACTGGTCAGCTACACTGGTAGAGTTAAAGCAATCCATTTGAGATAAAGCATTCCCATATTCCTTAAGGTGTCATGGTCATCTTAACTGTGAAGCTTGCATGTGCAATAACCTCTAGGGTGTTGCTGTTTTCTTTCTCTTTCTGTCTCTCTGGAGAGAAAAATGGATCCACATAACTTCATGCTGACTCTAGTCAGTCTGTGCAGCTTTACCTAAAATGGAGAGCTTGGAGCAGGCTTTGACTTTTGTCAGGAAGGGCTCATGAAACCTTCAGCTATAAGAACAGTCAGCTTTGTTCCCCTCTGCCCCACCTTCCTTAGATGATGGTTTAGCACAGCGCAGGCATGCTCCTGTGTTTAAATCCCCCACGTTTCTGCACATCTCTTCATCTCCATTATTTGATGACAAGTTGCCTCCACATGGTTCAGCTCTTCACTCAGGGAAGCAGTGGAGTCTGTTATATCACCTGGCACTGATTCATGCACCACCAATGGAAATGATGTTGGCTTGGAAATCTTTCCTCAGAAATGGCTCTGGCCTGCTTTCTGTTGACTCACAGCGTTTCTGTTGCTCCATGGAATTGTTAAGTTGTGAGTTTCTAATTTTATGCTGGCATGTTGATGGGATGAGGCTCTGCCAGTTACATAGAGTCCCAAATACCACTTCTTGATGGGTGTCTGAAGTCTTCCTACCAGAACATATAAGACAATAGCTATCAGATGATTGTTTAAATTTGTCTTACACTGTGTGCTTCCAGGGTTGTTTTTGCACAGGGTTTTGTGGGCAGTTACTGTCTTCTGCCAGAGATCCTTTAATAGTGAAAAGACATTTTTCCTTGGTTTTGAAAGGACTGTAAAATAGGCTTTGCTCTGTATCTCTTTGCAAAGAGAGCAAGTACCATGCCGAACAGACTGATGTACAGGAAATGTATGTAGTCCTTAAGTACCTATTGAGAGAGAAGGCCAAATGAAATGCAGGCTTGTGCCAGCAGTATGCTCAGCTGTTAAATCCTTAAAGGGAATAGCTATGACAGTTGCTGTAGGTGCTTTGGAGAACTTTAATGCCTTTCCATACTGGAGACAGATGAACAATGTCAACTTTAGCCTGAGTTTTCCAAGAGGCTATCAACTGCAGTTGAAGATTAGATCCTGTTTGTAGCTGCTGGGAGACTTAATATGAGTTAGCAGCTGCTGTAAAGAGAGTGTTAATGGGCTTACCAAGATGGCATGGGAGCAGTAAGGGTGCAGAGAGCATACTGCAAAGGTGTGGATGATGCTGCTTACTGTCATTGATGGAACAGTAACACAGCTGCCCTGTTGCGCTCGGTGCTTCTCTGCAGAGATGAGGTCTGGTGCAGGCTCAGCAAAGTTCAGGTTATTGGGCTTACCTTATCCAGAAATACCTGCTCTTGTATCATTTCTCAGGGTAAGTTTTGTTGTGTGAGGACAGACAGGCTGAGCTGAAAGCCCTGGAGAGTTGAAGGGAAATAACATCTCCAGAAAACACCTATCTTACCATCTGAACTTGGGTGTATGACTGCGCTCAGCTATAGAGTGCTGCTCAAGTTGAAATGGAAGGTGTAGTTTGTGTGAAAGTAATTATTTGATGGTGTTGGTGTACATCGGTATTTATTGCAGCTTAGCACATGGCTCTTAAATGGTTGGAGTTTGTTTGAGCTACTGTCCAATGTGACTGGGGGCAGAACTCTGAGGGATGGTGGTGTTGTCAGAATGGGGCTGGGCTGGTTTTGTCTGAGGCATACACTAGGTGATACTGACAGGTGATTGGAGATGCCAGGCTGTGCCTTTATCCAAACCACTAAAGATAAATGTGTAAAAACACATACATAGCCATGGGGGGAAAATCCACTTCTTGCTTCCTTCAAAGGCAAGCTGCTTTTCTGGGTCCTGTGGCCATTTGGATACACAAAAGTAGAGCCCCTGGCTTTCTCATCTGACTGCATCTTCATAGATGAACAGAGAGGCATGCATCCTTCATCCTCGAGAGCTTGGTGTACGTCTGCATGTAATGCAGTTCATTTCATCCAGTAAAACCAAATCCCTTCCATAATAGCATAGGAGAAATAACTTTCCTCTTACTGGTCTGTATGTGTGTTTGTAGTGCTCTGGGTTGTATTCTGGCGCAGCTGCAAGGCTCTTCTCCTTCCCTCCTACTTAGAAAGTTGAGGCTATGAATTGGCATAAATGTGGGTGGTTAGCTTGTTTGTTTTGGCAGGGCTGGGAGGGAGGTTGCAGGGTTTAGCAACTGCTTCCTACGTTCTAGTTCCGTGTTGCATCTCAGTTGTGAGGTGCAGCTATTTTGGGGGCTACGTACTAAAACAGGTCAAAGAACTAGCGCAGGTTATCCTTCCCCTGGTTGCTTCTAATAAGTTTCCTTTTTTAGGTCACCAGGTAGTTTACAAGCTTTTGTATCTGCAGAGCTAAGAACATAGTCTGGAATCTGATTAAGCCAGCACTGTCACTGAAATATAGAAGCAGGGTGCCTTACGGGGGCTTCTGTGCAGCCTTTGGGGTGAGCAGTCTTTCCTTGCTGGTCAGAGCCTGTAGCACCCTATGTCATTTGGAGCTGGAATAGTGATAGACCCTAAACCTATAGTTTCTGAATGCTCTGAACAAGCTTAGTGTGGGCTCTTGTGCTGCTTTGAAGAGCTCATTGAGCCACTCTGTCTACAACAGAGTAAAAGAGCTTGTAGGGTTTCGGTGGGGGTTTCTTGTTTTGTTCTTCATTTATATATAACATATTTAAACTAAGCTTGGTCAGGACATTTGCCCTGGACAGCAGCTGATCTCTGATAACGTGTGTGAATGATCCTTTAAGTGAAGCTGTAAAAGGTCTGTCTGAGCTGAAATAGACGTTTGTACGTGTATGGCTATTTAACAAAAGAGGATTAGAAACTGATTTAATTCTTTGCAGTTTTGCTGAAGATCTCTCTGCAAAAAGAAGTCATTGAAAAAGAGGATCAAGAGGAAAGAAGTTTGCAGGAACTCACTGCTGGCCAAAGGTTTCCTAGCTTTTGTAGCCCAAGAACATATGAAGTAGATTCTTCTCAAGTGACCATATTTCAGCAACTCCCTTAAGCATTTGTCACATAACTTTATAGCATCTAACTCCTCCTCTGAATGTTAGGGCATTCTGACATTCAGAATTGATTTCTCTGAAGGAACTCTTGCAAATCTAAGCCATTTTGTACAAATTGGGCTGTGTATGTATGTGCCAGTTTAACATCTATTTTGGATCTCTAGTTTTTAACAGCTTTTGAGGGTAGATGTGGCGGTAACAAACCCTAATAGAGCTCTATGGTGATAAAAATATTACATGGCAAGAAAAATGCTGAAAGCAAGCAAGCTGCAGGGGTGGGAGGATGCAAAGGGATAATGGACTAAGTAAGGCAGCTCTTGTGATCCAGGGCATGCAGTTTTGGGTAGTTTCTTCTAACTCAGTTGATGCCTTTGCTTGAAACCCTCTGCCTCATCATGCATAGAAGTAGCTTGGAACCAGTGAACCAACCACTGCTACTGTGAAGGGCATGGGATACTCAGAGCAAGTCTTCTTTTGGCAATGTTGATGGCAAAATATCAACATGATTTTAGCTGTTTGGGAATACTTGGGTTTCTTTGCTTTCAGGTGTGAAACTTTCTGCGGTAAACCCTAACCTCATAAACCTTGCTTTATATTCTAAATTAAAGGGAAAAATGAAGGTGCTGTGACCATATTTTCAACTTTGGCTGTTAAAAGTCAACATCTGTTTTTAAATAACTCTTTATAGATGGGTTTTCTTCGGCCACAGATCTCAGTGTTGATGATTCCTGCGTTACCACCAAGTTGGTGTACTCTGCCTTTTTTTGCCTGCTTCTGGAGTCTGTTTTCCTCGTATCTGACCTTTTTTTGTGTGGCACATCTTTATTCTCCTCTGATACTCCCTGATATTTGTCTTAAGGCTCTTCTGTTAGAGCTTTGCCTCCCACGTAGTCACTGGAAACTTGTTCTGAAGGTGTCACTTCAACTCTAGAGTACAGTGGAGTTTAGCTGATTTGTATTAATCACCTTCAAATTATCCCCTTCACCAGGGCTGCTTTTAGGGCAGCCTTCCAGGACCAAAACCATAAGGAAGGAGGAGTTGTGCAAGCCTTGCAGGAAGGAATTGTATATCCTGAGACAAACTTAATACCACTATCTAGTGAGATGTCTTTCCATTTCATCGCACATCAGTCCGTGCCTCTCTTGTGCCAGCTGATGACACAGAACTCTTTTGCTTATTGCACTTGCGGAGCAGCTGAATTCTAATGTTGCTGTTCTTCTGTCTTCCCACTTTTGGATTTCTGGGCTGCTGCCTGTTTTGATATTTGGATGCTGTTGAAGTAGCTCTTAGTCTTATGTGCTAACTGGATGTGTTTTCCTTTCTAGGTTGAGACTGAGCTGAAATTAATCTGTTGTGACATTCTGGATGTACTGGACAAACACCTCATTCCAGCAGCTAACACTGGCGAGTCCAAGGTTTTCTATTACAAAATGTAAGTATCTTGTGAGGCCAGAACATTGCTCTATCTGAACTAGAGACAGAAACAAAGCAGACTGATCACTGCCGTGTAGTATCAGCTTCAGAGTTGTATTATCAGGTGGAACTTGGCCTTGGAGTATGGTGCTGTAGTCACTGGTTTGATGCATCTTTTCTGAAGGACAGTTTAAGTCTTGACGTGATCAGTGTTTTCCTCTGTAGTTGGATTATCTCTTTCTAGGATAGAGATCTATCCTAAACTTGGCTAGTTTAGATGAGATGCATTTGTAGAGACAGTTTAAGAATGGAGAAGGTAACACTATGATTTTGTGTACTAATACAAGAAAATAAGTGAATCCAAACTGGTTTTCCTGCATGATGGTTTCAGATGCACTCTGAAATGCACTGTTGCAGTAATTCAGCAGCAGTGTCCTTTGTGTGAATATATAAAGAGGAGTTTCTGAACTGGAAGTTTCAACTGTTAATTTAGTGGGGAAATAAGCACTGCTGACTCCTTACTGCTTCTGTTTCCAGGAAGGGGGACTACCATAGGTATCTGGCTGAGTTTGCCACAGGAAATGACAGGAAGGAGGCTGCAGAGAATAGCTTGGTGGCTTACAAAGCTGCTAGTGACATTGCAATGACAGAACTCCCACCAACACATCCCATCCGCTTAGGACTTGCGCTCAACTTCTCTGTATTCTACTATGAAATTCTTAATTCTCCTGATCGTGCCTGCAGGTAAGTGGTGATGGGGAAGATGGGGATGTGAATACCAAACGTAGATGTCACGAGGCACAGGTTTCACTTGTGCACTCCTGGTTTCTGTTGAGCAGTGTGTTAAATCCGATTTGATTCTGTGCTTACAGGTTGGCAAAAGCAGCTTTCGATGATGCTATTGCAGAACTGGATACACTGAGTGAAGAAAGCTATAAGGACTCTACACTTATCATGCAGTTGTTACGTGATAATCTGACACTATGGACTTCAGACATGCAGGGTGATGGTAAGTAAACTCTCCTCTGCAGTGCTGCTCTCTCCTGACCTCTATCCAGAAGTGAAAGCATGGATTGGTTGGTGTTTTACCTCTGTCTTTCCTAATAGTTGACCACCTTGGATTTACATCCTTTCTTAGCACTGGATTAAGTTGATAGGGGTGACATTAGGAGGGAGGTGTCAGTAATGTCAACTTTCTTTTCCTCCCATCTGGCTGTTTGTGAGTATTTTAAAAGCAGTGACCTCACTGAATTCAGCTTTTCCTTCTTAGGCTTGTCGTGTTCATCTGTGGTTGTCATTCTGAGAGATGGGAATTGCCAGGGCAGGAGCAAGTACTGCAGCCCATGTAGTTGCCCTTCGTTTTTCAGGTCACTCAGTGTTTCTGTTGGCTTTTAGTGGAGGATTTAATGCCATGATGCTGTAAAGGTGCAGAGATCAGTAATCCCCATAGCTTTTATTCTTCTTACGAAGAATTACTGAGTATGAAGGGAGGAGGGGAAAGGGAGTTTGTAAAACGCTTTGTTACCAGAGGTGATGTAGAAGAAGCTTGGAGAAATCTCATTTCCTATTTGAGGTGTTTGAAGGACTTTCTTTTAACACTGCCCAGACCCACTTGGTTATACCTCCTAAAGTGGGCCAGTGCTGCAGCAAGTACTGAGTGTATCCCCTGGCAGTACCAGAGGGTGGGACAGTGCTTCTGCTTACTAATATGATATTAAATTAAGTGTCCTTTTGGCATCCTGATGGACTCTTTCCTCTTACTACTTCCACATACATGCCAACTTTACTCGTTTAGTTCCCTGCATTAGGCCTTCTGTTTCACTGATGACTGGAAGTGAATGAAACATAATCTCTGTATAGAGAAATGAAACTCGTGTTTAAATTACAGCCTGGAGAGAGACGTGGAAAGAGCTGAATTTCTTTAACTTGGAAAGGGGGAAGAAGTGTCAGTCCTGTTTCATGTACAGTAGGTGCTTAGAGGCGCAGAGGTTTGAAACATCACTGCTTAACCCACAAAATACATGTCTTAAATACTCAGTAAGATGTTACTTGGAGCATGGTGATAGCCTTACAGTTACTTTGGAGTACTTTAGTGGTGTAGTGTCCATTTGAAAGCAGTTGCAGAGTCTCTTTACTGAGTCTTGTGTAGGGTTGATGGGTTAGTTACCCGAGAGCTTCCAGCTCTTTGGGTAGATCCCAAGTATTGAATGTGTGCTGGTGCCATTTCAATGCAGTTAACAAGGCTGGATTGCTGCTGTGAGATAGCAGCATGAGAACATCTCTCTGTGAGCTGCCACCATGTCCCAGGTATCTCTTACACTGTAGATGTTCACCAGGGTTATTTACAGAGGCTCTGGGTGTTTCTTTTTGCATAATCTGGATTGACATTTCTCATAACTACCCTTCATAGCGTGGCAAATGGAGAGTTCTGCCCTTCCTGAAGCAGTTCTGATCACCTGGTTACTGTTCATGGAGAAGGGCAGGAAGAGAATGATGACAACACTTACACCACTGCAGGATGCCTTAATCCTGCAGTGTGGTTCTTTGGGTTCACATAGAACACGGTGTCATGAACAGTGTGCAGACATAGGTGTCAAGTTTTCTCACCCTTCACACCATGCTGATGCACTGAGTGCAGTTAAAACTGGTGCTTCCACAACTCCATATTGCCAAATCAGGCAGAGCCTTTGGAAGCTTGTAAAGGTTCACGGTGGCACTGAGGCAGGAAACTGGTACGGGGTGGGGAACACTCAGAGGTTTCTCTTTCTCATTCAGCTTTTCCCTGTTTCGTAGAATCACAGAATGGTTTGGGTTGGAAAGGACCTTCAGATCATCCAGTTCCAACCCCCTGCCATGGGCAGGGACACCTCACACTAAACCATCTCACCCAAGGCTTTGTCCAGCCTGGCCTTAAACACTCGATTTCAGTTGTGTAGGTTTAGGGCAGGACTCTCTGGATTGAGGTGTTCCTCAGCTGCTGCACCTTTCATCTCATCTCCTGTACCTTTTAACCATGTCATAGGCGAGCTGTTGAGTTTATTTTCATTGCTTGTAATGTCACCTTCATGATTCCTGTTCTCCCCTTCTTTCCCGCTGTATAGATTCCTAAAGGGAAGTCCAAGTGTTCCTTTCCTAAAATCTCTACTTTGTAAGTCTCTGTCATGGCTGAATGAACGTTCCAGTGTCAGTTCCCTGCAGTCACTAATGCTGCTTGCCTCTGTCGCTCCTGCTGCTCATAAACCGCTTGTGTCTGACTCCATTCTAGGGCTGAGCTGGGACCTGCCCCTGCCCAGGTCCAGCGTGCTTGACTGAGGCCCAAAGTAACTTTGGTTTGGGACTTGAGCTGCATTCCTGGATGGGTATTAAGAATATTTGGGCATGAAAAGTACTTTCACAATGGCCTGTTACAGGAGTATTTGCTTACGTGTGTCAACTCGAGCATGCTCAGATCCATTAATCCATCTTCCTGGGTTAGGGCCTCTGCTTCCCTCTCCAGTGATGCACTTCATAATCCTAAGTGTAGACTTCACTGTTGTTGAATGTCAGGTGTCTTGTGTTCCTGGAAACCCACCTTGTATTGTACCTGGTGCCGGTGCTCAATCTGGACATGCTGGATTTTAGGGCGTATCAATCTCTTTAAGGGTAGCTTTTCTTGCCCTCAAACCAGCTCACATGGTTAAGGGTAACTGTAAAGAACCCACTGAGTTTCTCTCCTCCATTCACTTGTGCATGGCAAAGCTGTGCAGGAGGCATTGCTTTGCATGCACCTCACCCAGGCAACGTGAGTGTAACCCACACTTAACTACAGGAGGCTCTAGGGGTAGATTTCATTCCCCTGCATGTTGCAGCCTGGCTCAATAGGTCCAAACCTTCTGTTTTCAAGAGAACACGGAACATTTAATAACGTAGGTGTTGGACTTGAAGCAGGGATGTGGTTTTAGCCTTCTTTTGGTACCTTTAATAACACCTCATCAGTGTTCTTTATAAAATCGACTGCAGGACATTGCTGTGGGTGAGACTTGAGGGGATTTGGGTAGAGAAAAGCCTGTTTTAAACCCTGTATCTCTGTAGGTAGCGAATAGAGGTCCTCAGGGCTTTCTGGCATAGAAATGAAGGTTTGGGGGAGGTATTTTCTGACTGAAGGATGCTGAGCCACAACTGTTCTCTTGGCTGTTGATGATCCCATGTTTGTCCTTACAACCAGAGTCTTCTAATAGCCTGTGCTGCAGCTCTGTGTGAAACGCACCGAGGTGGGGATGAGGCTTAATTCCCATGGGAATGCTTCACCCCACACCTGGCTGTGTGACGTGTGTGTGCGTGTGCCATGGATGCGAGTGTGTGTTCTGCATGGAGCTCTTAACCTGGGTGCCCATCGAGCCCCTGCGTGTGGTTAAAAGTTCCCCTCTCCGCAGGTGAAGAACAGAACAAAGAAGCGCTGCAGGATGTGGAAGATGAAAACCAGTGAGACACAAAGGCCAACAAGAGAACCCATCTCTGACCATCCCTCCCCTTCCCCACAACAACCCTCAGTGTCACTCTGAGAACCACCAAATCTGACTTTTACATTGGGGCTCAGAATTTTAGGTTCCTGCCCTGTTGGGTTTCTTTATTTTTATTTTGGTTTATTTTGTTTTGGGGTTTTTTTTGTTTTGTTTTGGGTTTTTTTTTTTCCTTTTTTTTTGGGCTGTTTTTTTTTTTTTTTACACAATTTCAAAGTTCTTAAAGGCAAGAGTGAATGTCTGTGGATTTTACTGGTGCCAGCTTGTAGGTTTCCTTAAGACACTAACAGGTCAAGGCTCGCTCAGCATTACTGTATTGTCGCCCAGCCCACGGGGCAGGTTAGAGTGAACGTTCCCCCTCGCAGGGCAGGGATGCATCACAGCCGAGGAGTGCTGGCAGTTCCCCTTTCTCTTTCCTTTTCTAACCGTTTCCAAGTGAATTTCATCCCAACGGCGTTGTCCAGCTCAAAGGTCCGGGTTGCTTTTGGGACGTGGATTGTAACGGGGTTCGAAACACCCGAGTTCCCAACCTGCTTGAAACCTCGCTGCGAATCACGGTGCTGGTAACAGTTCAACAATCCCTGGCTGCTCATTCTTGCCTGTTCTTTACTTTTCCTCCAAGCAGGTTAGCATTGAAGGTGGCATTGAAAAGCCTGCATGCGTGTTCAATATTTTTTCTTTCTCCCCTCCCCTGTCCCCCATCTCCCTTCGCTCGCTCTCAACCTCTTTTGTTCAGTATGTGTAACTTGAAGCTAATTTGTACTACTGGATATCTGACTGGAGCCACAGATACAGAATCTGTATTGTTCTTACTGAAACACAGCATGGAATTAACATTAAACTTAAATAAAACAAACCTAAATTAAAAACGCCAACCACAAGGAGGATTTTCTGTTCTAGTTTAACCGGCTTGGCTTTGGTGCGTGTAATAGGAGCGGTTGGAGGGGAAGGAGTAACAGCATTGGCATCTTGCTTATGCCTGAAGAACAGCCTAATGTGTAAGTAGTGTTGCTGCATCTTCTCCACACCATTTCCTACCTGGAAGCACAAACTCCCCTATGGGCTGCTTCCCTTAGAGCATTCCTCATCCAGGGATGCGGATGGAGAAGGGCGCCGTTACCTTCGTGTCCACCTTGCTTAGCTTGGATCCTAGAAGACTCCTTCTAGGAATAAGCTGCTCCTGGAGGAACATTCCCAAAACCAGGACAAGATGGAGGAGGCTTCTTTCCTGTAAAAATTTATTCAGTGTAGTCTGGATGAGGTTACAGAACAGCGGATACAGCAGCTGATGCCATGGATGCTCTAGCATATACAGGGGGGTGTATGTACTACAGTGTGTACAGCAGCCCAGGCCTTGGGTCCGCACTGTAGGAGGCTGAGCCAATTGTATGCAAGTGGCAACGTGTGGTTGTATTTTACTCAGGGCTTACTGGAAGTGGTGGTGCCGCACTGGGATACAGGCGGAATGAGCTTGGGAATGGATCCGGGGCTGGGATGTGGGATGGGGGCACTCAGCTGCCCACCCTGCAGCCTCTGGTGCTCAAACCAGGGTAGGCTGGAGGTGGGGAAGGAGCCCTCCTCCTGCTGACAGCGCTGAGCAGGGGCAGGTAAAGGAGGAGCTTTCACTGCAGGGCCTCAAACTTCCAGTTCTTGCTCATGCCAAGGAAAAGCAGTTCTGGCTGAAGGTGCTGCTCTGAGCGCAGGCACCGCGTGGGGCTTGGCCTGGGGTTTGTATTCACTGACCCTTCACTGGGCTGTGGGGATGGAAAGAGTATAAAAATACCACTATAGAGCAAGGAATGGGGTGGGTGACTTCAAAAGGTAAGAGCTGCTGGAGCCAGAGGAGTGAGGAAGTTCAGTAAATGCTGGTTTCATGGGTTAATACCTTACCATCGCGAGCTAAAACCAACAGAACCCCCCAGTCTAAACCATAAATCAACTCCCTTTCTCATAGTGCATCTCTCATACTCCACTCAAAGTATTTACAGGGCTTTTCTCACTCATTTACATAATATGGCTTTAATACAAACGTCTCGGGGTCGAATTCTTCATCACACATTCTTTCTGGCTATGAAGTTTGGCATCTCATGGACGGGGCTGGCAAAGCAGCAGAGTTCTGGGGTCCCTTTGTGCTTTCGGATGGTGTCAAGCACAAGGTTTTTGGTCGCTACCTCTTCCCTCAGAGCCCACGGTTCCAGACGGTGCCTTGGACCCACGCCTTTGCCGCTAAGGTGAGGAGGAGAAGGCCTCTCTTTTGGGATCGGGTATTAAGACAAGAAAGATGGAGCTGTGGGTTTCTGGAAGCGCAGGTCTTTGGTAACAATGAAAGGAGCAAAGCGAGGAAGGAGGGGGTTTGCTGGGAATGATCCAGCCAGTTCCATGGGGAGGAGGAGGAGGTCCTGGCCTGGTGGCATGTTATCATCGGGAGTTCAGCCGAGGAGCAACCTGCAGGAGGAGGAGGAGGAGGACAAGGTAAGGGTGCGGGGATGCTGCAGTGCTTTAGGTCCTGAGGATCTTCAGGAGCCAGACTCCAGTGTGCGTTGGAGCTGAGCTGCTCATTAGGGCACAGGATGTGTTAACACTGAGACCGCCCCACAGGGATCAGAAGCAGGATTTGGCTGCTGGAAATGGCCATCACTGAACCCATCTGCATTGATTCCTGAATGACCTTTAATGGGACAAGGCATACATCAGCTGCAGGGCTGGATGTGACCAGCAGGAAGGCCGAGAAGGGAAAAGGATTTTTCCCTTAGCTTCCTGTGTTCTTAATGTCTAAATCTGATGTGCAGAGCACGGAGTTAAAGCTGGATCTCGGGGAGGGGAATGCAAGAGACAGGCACTGGATGAGTCTGAGTGAGCCTGCCTGGCTCTGGGGCCTGCTGGGGCCAGGGCTGTGTTCAGGAGCATCATGGGGCACGTGTCCATTTGCAGCAGCTCTGGTTTAATCCCAAACCCAGGGTTTGGAGCTGCTGTAAGTGAATCAGTGCCCTTTGGTACCAACCCCAGGGGTACTCACCACTGTTAGATGGCCGTTCTTGGCTTTGGCTATGAGCAGTTCTGATCCTGATATGAAGTCAATGATCCCTTCTTTGCCTTGTCCAACTGTGAATTTGATGCTGTGAAGAGACAAGAAGAGATGTGATGAGCAGTTGAGGCCCCTCCGTTAGCTCAGCTTTACCCTTTTCTGCTCCAAGTGGCTGCTCTGTATTGATGCATGGCTGCACCATCTGCCACGTTCGTAGCCAAGATGTGTTGGCTATGTTCTGGTGCATGCAGGGATGCTGCTGTAGCCCTCCAAGGCTGAAGCAGAGCTCTCACCTGCCCTGGTTGATGTTGACGTTGTTGACTTTGCCTGCCTGCATGGCTGTCTTGGTGAGGGTCTCAATGACGTGATCGCTCTGCAGCACCACATCTCCCTGCGAGGAAGGAGACAAGAGCTGGGATCATGGCTTTACAGTGACACTGTTCCTAAAGGATGGCTGCTGCTAACAGGGACAGAACCGGCTCCATAGCATGGACAAACACTTCTCCAAGTGGACCAGGCTTGATGGGCATCGCTGTGGGTCACACTGTACTGTGACCATTAAATGACAATGGGCACAAGAGACAGCACCAATTCAAGTCCATGGTGAACCCGTTCTGAGCTCGAGTAACAAGAAACATTACTTGGAGCTGGCTCTAAGTTAATTACAGCCATGGCACCATGTGTGCCCTCCCCATCCAGCTGCATCTTCTGCTCTTGGTGCCTTAAGCCCTGTTCTAGAGGCGGTTGGAGGAGGGATGGATGAGTCCGGGTACCTTCTGTTTGTTGTCCTCGCAGTGCACGTGCAGCACGAACAGGTTATCACTCAGGCTGCTCACGGAGATGCCTGCAACAGGGAACAGCCACTTGGTACCCAGCAAAAGGGGATGCTCACAGGAATGCAGGGGATGGACAATAGGTTTAAACTGTGCTCTTTAAGGTGGAAAAGAACCTTCCAGGTGCCTCTGCCCATCAGATGCAGGAAGAGTTCCTGGTTACAAGCTGTCCTGGCCTTGGAAAGAGAGGTAATCTGGCCACTTCAGGGACCTATGATCAAACCTGTACTGGACAGGTACTCATTCGAGCCTGGGAGGTGGGTGAGTGGGGTAACTATTGGGATACTAAGGATTACTTTAGCTCCAAGCCAGATTATAGCTGTTTAAACTGAGCATTAGCTGTTTAAATTGAGCTGGTCCAACCTAGCAGAGATGAACACGTCTCTAATAGCGTCCTTATGAGTGTCACAGGACCCCAAATGAGTGTTGCCCTTGGAAACCACTTCAGATGGTGACAAATGGCAGCAGTCATCCCATCAGGGCTCGCATTCAGGAGTCACTGAATGACTGGCACCAGAAGTGGAGCTGGGAAGGGAGAGGTTTCAGACCAGCCAAGTAATAACCCCAGGGCTCCAGCTTCAATCAGCAGTTGTCCCCCTCTGACCAAGTTCTCCCTTTGGAAGCATCCAGGCCATGGCAAATAGGGCCCTGAGCAGCTGCTGTGCACTAATGGTGCAATTCCCTATGGCAGGGATGTGTGTTGGGAAATGATGGAGGAGGAGCTTGGGGAGATGGATTGAGCAATTCTGGTGGCATCTGATGGAGTTTCAGTTTAGGAAAACACAGTTTCAGGCTATCAGAGACTTCAGATGCTGCTTGTCAGTACTGGATCCCCCAAAGACAGGGTTATTGTGTGAGCACTCAACCATGGCCAAGGCTGGGCCAGGCCCCATCCCTACCTGTCAGATTGCCGTAGTCGATCCGCTGTTTGATTTTGGACTCCTCGATGATGATGGCTGCGTTCTGGGTCAGCAGCAGCTGCCGGGCTCTTGCCTTGTATCCTTTCCGGTCGTACTTGACCACGGGCACTGCGTACTGAAACAAGTGTTAATATCTTCCAAGGGTATAATATAATATGATAATGACATAATATGATGACATAATGACATAACACAACCTAATATAATAGAGTATATTCTTGGTGTATTGTATTCCTAAATCTAACCTAATATTCTACTGAATAACTCTAGAAGCTTGACCAAAATATTAGCACACAGATCTCACAAGGATACCATATGATATGACATAATCTAACCTAATCTAACATAATATAACCTAATCTAACATAATAATAATATAATGTAATGTAATGTAAAATAATATAATGTAATGTAATATAAGTATATTCTTGCTGTACTGTATTCCTAAATCTAACCTGGTATTCTACTGAATAACTCTAGAAGCTTGACCAAAGTATTAGCACACAAATCTCACAAGGATATTGTATGATATGACATAATCTAACCTAATCTAACATAATACAATAATAATATAATATAATGTAATGTAATATAAGTATATTCTTGGGGTATTGTATTCCTAAATCTAACCTGGTATTCTACTGAATAACTCTAGAAGCTTGACCAAAGTATTAGCACACAGATCTCACAAGGATATCATATGATATGACATAATCTAACCTAATCTAACATAATATAAACTAATCTAACATAATAATAATATAATGTAATGTAATATAATATAATGTAATGTAATATAAGTATATTCTTGCTGTACTGTATTCCTAAATCTAACCTGGTATTCTACTGAATAACTCTAGAAGCTTGACCAAAGTATTAGCACACAAATCTCACAAGGATATTGTATGATATGACATAATCTAACCTAATCTAACATAATATAATAATAATATAATATAATGTAATGTAATATAAGTATATTCTTGGGGTATTGTATTCCTAAATCTAACCTGGTATTCTACTGAATAACTCTAGAAGCTTGACCAAAGTATTAGCACACAGATCTCACAAGGATATCATATGATATGACATAACCTAACCTAACATAATATAGTATATCCTTGCTGTATTGTATTCCTGAACCTAACCTGATATTCTACTGAATGACTCTAGAAGCTTGCCCAAAGTATTAACACACAGATCTCACCTTAATGGCTTCATTGTCTAAAGCCTGCAGGACTTTGGCATTTATCTCTTCATTACCTGCATTAAAAGCAAAAAGCTGGGCTCAGAAAGAAGCTTCCAGCAAGAAAAGAGCAGATTTAATCCCCCCCCCATCCCTTCCTCGTGTTAAGCTCACCCAGGCGCGTGTTGATGAAGAGCCTTGGAACACTCTGAGGGTAATTGTCCTTCTTACCCTTGAAAATCTCACTGGCGATGACTTTTTGTTCCAGCTGCAAGGACAAAAGGAGATATTCTCCATCAAAACATAGACTTATCTTAGAAAAGATGCTCCCGTTGCTTTCTTTAAGCACTTGGCATCTAGTTCTGACCTTCTGACTTAGACACAGTGTTCCATACATCCCAACAGTGCCCCTGTCTTTAGGCCAGAGAGTGGTGGTTTTCCCCTTCTCAGAAGTCTTCTTGTCTCCTGTTGGAACCTACCTGGGCCTGGCATCCAGGCTTGGGATTTTGGTAATGCCCACTGACAAAGCAGGAATGGCCTTATCGGCACTAACACATCTGTGAGAGCTCTGATGGGCAAATGCCCATTCCTGCTGCTACACAGTATGAAAAAGAGGTGAAAATGGAGGTAAAACGGATTTATTTGTGAGTGTGGGGAAAAGCAAGCACCCAGCAACATCCCCAGCTCACTCAGAGGCTGTGTTAATCCCATGTCTTTAATCACAGGCTCAGCCACTCACTAATCCATAGCACTTTGCTAGTACCACTCTGCAGGCCTCCCCCAGCAGTAGGATGCAGGATGCAGTAATGACAACTCTTACCATCACCTCCCACCAGGTACCTGTCAATTGTTCCATGCTCACATCTCCCATCGTGTCCCTTTACGGAGCCTTTTGTTAATATCAAACACCAAATCCCTCCCTCTACCTTTCCATGACTCAGATGAACCAAATCTCAGGATCATTTTTACTCTTTTCAGCTATAACAGCAGCTCCCAGTGTGTTCATGTGATGTCTCTGTTTGGAAAAGGACTAGTTCTGTGTCTGCAGAGTTCTTAGTCTCTATATGGTATAACTAGGATAGTGCAGCTGGTTACACTCTTATCTTCCATGGGAAGAATAACAGAGCCTTTCAGTACAGACATTATATGGAGATTCAGCATTGCTCCAACAGCATGTACTGGAATAGGTGTACAATGCTCTGTCTTTTATGCATATCTAGTCCATTAGGTTTTTGTCTTTAACCTAAAAACACCCCACACTGCTTCTGTGGAGCCATTAAAAGAGCTCCTCCACCTCAGCCCTGCTACAGGGAGTCCCCTGATAGTAGTGCCTTTGTCCCTCCCCTCCTGGGGACACTGGTGTAGGTTGTGAAATAACCTCAAGTGATCTCGTACCTGTTGCTTCCACTCGGGGCTGATCCTCTTGCAGTAGGTCCAGACCATGTTCTGCATGCAGAGCTGGCGCAGGAGCTGGGAAGCCTGCACAGGAAATCACACCATGAATGAAAGGAGCTCGAAACTGTTGACAAACCAACTCAAACCATGGGGAGAGATGAGAAAACCTCAGAAACTGCAGCACTGAATTCAAACAGTGTTTAAGTACTGAGAGTTCCTTCTAAAATTCAATACCAGGAAGCTTATTTCCCCCCTTTCTAAGAGGGTTTCCCTTCAATGCTCTCCACCTGCGTTACACGGGAGAAGGAGCACCCAGATGCTCCCCTTACCCTGCTGTGCCCTGCCTTGCATCCAGTGCCTGCAATTGAGCAATCAAGGGCCTTTTATTGGGTAAAATAACCAGGACTTTCTGCAAAACCTTGTTTTGAGCAGATAAAAACCCAGCTGAGGGTTGGAACTGGACGAGCTTTAAGGTCCCTTTCAACCCAAACCAACCTGTGACTGTCATTCTCAAACGGTGCTGCCATAGCAGTGCACTCCCAATCTGTCAATAACTCCAGCTCTAGTAACCACATCTTATGGTGATGTCTGGATTAGTTCTACCAGTAGGGATGCTGGGGTGGAGATGCTGATGTAGATAACCTGTGTGAAAGCCTGGCTCCTCCTTGTGCTACTGGAGGGTCCCCTCACTTCCCCACCCCTGCCCCAGTGCCCTCCAGCCTGTCCCCACCTCACAGAGCGATGGAGGAGGAGTTGGCCAGGATTTGTCCAGAACATTCTTTGGCAGGTTCCGTTTGAGGTTCATGAGGAAGGAGAAGCGGATGTAATCCAGGAAATACTCGTTCTCTGGGCACCGCGGGTGGTTCCGGTAAATGAAACCTTTGATGAACCTGAGCAAGAACAACTGTTATTGTTAGAACAGTGACCAAAATCAGGGCTATTTGGAACCTGCTGCTTGCCAACAGTGTTCTGGGCTTCATTTACAAGTTGGAACCTGTTTTAAAAGCACTCTGGGGACAAGCAAGTTTATCCCTATCATCTCACTGCCAAGAACTAAGTGCCCAGTTGAGGGCCTGGGTTATCCTTCACGTACCTTCTGATAGTCTCCACTGCCCACTTCCTCTTGGCAGCTTTCCTGCGGCCCAGCGTTCCCCGCCACCAGGACTGGATGGCTATTGCTAAAAGGAACACAAAACAGCAATTACAAGCACTGGCAGATGGGAAGTGCTGGGAAAACGTGATTGAGTTTGCTTCTCCTGATCAGTCTCCCACATGGAATCACTGGGGACCACACTGACACCTTCCACTCTCCTCCCAGCAAGGCTTTGGGGATGCTCCTTCTCACACAGGAAACACAAACCATCTCTGACAGCAGGAGCCACCTCAAACCATGCAATACCCAGCCCTGCCCTTGCCTTTCTCTCTCTTTTTCTCATACCTGAGTGTTTCATGTGCAAGAATTTCTTTCGACGGTAGAAACCCCTCCACGTGGCCTGCATCTTTGTGGCTGAAATGGCAAGAAAAGGAGCAGTTGGGAATTGGGACCAAGCAAATTTTAGTCGAAAAAGGCTCAATCTTTTAAACAAAAAAGCAGAAAACCATCATGAGAACTGAGCCATCCACTGTCCATGAAGCTGCTGCGGTGTGTGACTCACCCAGGCTCTGCTTCCTCACTTCCAGAGCATCTTCCGTTGCAAACAAAGTCTTGGGAAAGCGGATAAAAATCTTTGTTCTAGAAATAGAAATGCAGAATGATGTCTGACAAGCTGGAGCAGTTCACTTCCTGCCCTCAGCATCCCCCTTTGGGCTCTCTAACCTCACCCGTTAGAGAAGCCCTGTTGAAAAGCAATGACATGGATGTCCAATGATTCATCACCTCGGATGAAGGAAAGGGCAGAACTCACCGTCCCATTTTGTACTCTTCCTGTTTGTAGCCCAGATGCTTCACCAGCACAGCCACCCCGTCGTGGGGCCGCCCGTCCCACGTGGGCCACGTTTCCGGACAAAGGGATTTGTACCTGGGAATTGAGAGCAGAAGGAACCTTAGGGAGAGAACAAGTCCAGTCCCTACAGGGAAAGGGAAGGCCCTTTGCTGCTCTGAGCATCTATGGGACCAAGAGCAAGGAGAGAGCAGCTCGAGGAGGTCCTACCTCTGCAGGAAGACTTCGTATTTTCTGCGATAGGCGAACCCGGCTCTGCGCACGCGGAGGTTCTCCATCAGGCCCAGGTACTTCACTTGGTGTCGGATGAGAACTTCATCGAATCGGTCTTAAGAGAGCATGAGAAGAGAGAAACATGATCAGTATAGAGCTGAGCCTTCATCTGGAGAAGGGGAATGGTCAGTTCTTATGTCCTACACAATTATCTTTAATCTCCAACCCATCCTCGTGCTGCAAGTCCCACATCCCGCTTTACTATACATTTATATTTAGCTCCAAACCAAAGTTCTCCTTTAGGATGTTCTCTGCATGCAAGGAGGAAGATGGAGAATAAAGGTCATTAAAAGGAAGTTATAAAGGTTAATAATTACTCACTTTAAACATGACCCTACTCCACCCAAGAGCAGTGCTCCCACTGTGATTCCTGGGCCATCACCTCCCCACAGGCAGCTCTGGCACCAAGCCTGAACAACAGCATCCCACAGTTCTTTATCCGAGCTCCTTCCTGTGCCTCCCTGACTGGGACCTAGTGCCTATGTAGGAAGGGAGTCACCAGGGTCATACCAGCCTGTTTGGCATCGTTGGGTTTCATGCAGCGAATGTAGGAGGGTTCTTTGGACATCAGAATTTCCATGAGCTTGGAGAGGCTGTTTTTAAACTGAGTTGCTGCCTAGGAGAAAAGAAAGAAAACTATGAAGTGATAGCTCAGAGCTAATACTGAGACCCAACACACCTCAGTCTGCCAGCTTTAAACAGAAGGGGTTTGCACCCAGGTCCCTGTGTTAGATAGGATATGTCTTAAAAAGAGGGACTAGCCACACTTCCAGCCAGCTTTGTGTCCTTACCGTTTCAGGTCTCTTCTTGTCCGTCAGCTCTGTCCTGTCAAAACACTGGTTTATGATTGGATTCTCAGAGTTGCACATGGTCTGCAAAGAGAGAAAGCACAGAGAACTAGCAAAGAAACGTGGCACAAAACTGCTTGTCTGGGGGCTTTTTGATTCTTCATAATAAAGTGAACTTTGGGCACCCCAATTTGTCTTCTCATAGTGGACATGCGTTCACCAGATGGAGTTTAGAAGAACCTTTTCCCCTCAGGTGCCATCCCCCATTTTAAACCCAACTCCTCCTTCTGCCCTCCTCCATCCACACTCACCTCCTTCAGGTTCCGAAACAGAAGGTCATTGTTTTTATCCAGAAAACCTGGAGGACGAAAGAAACAGCTCAGGCTGCCACCCGTGTTCCATAGGAACATCACAGCAGGGCAGGAGTCTGACATGGGAAATTCATCTGGTTCAGCAAATGAGGTGTGGATGTAGCCAAGTTTTCTTTGCTCTATAGTGAAGCTGTTTGACCTCAAAGGGCAGGACAGGAGGAGGGTGAGAGGCAGCAGGGATGACGATGCACACACTGACCTGCAACGCTGTAGGTGACCTCTCCAGCATAGTGCAAGAGTCGGAACTCTTCCCGCCCCAGGGACTTGCGGGTCTTCTGGTCAGCAAGTTTGTGCCTGGGGAGGAAGTGAAGGGGCTTTAGGAGGAGCAAAGCTCTGTTTCATGGGGGGTCCCCCTCATAAGGCACTACGGCATCTGATCCAGAGCAGGACTGAGTGAATGTGGAAGGGAGCAGGGGATAAACCCCACTTGATGATTTTCAAGGCCAAAAGTGAAGAGCTCTCAACCAGCAAGTCATAAACAGAAATCCATTTTCTGTCATTGTTATTTCCAAAGGATGAACTTTCAGCTTCCTGGTGAGGTTGTGGGGTGGTTCTGTGTGCACATGAAACTAGAGGAGAGGCAGCAGGCAAGAGGGCAGAGAGATGCTAGCAGCAGGCTGGTGTACTCATGAAGGTGCAGAGATCCCACTCTGAGCATAAGCAGAGCATCCAGTAAGAATAAAAAGACATTTGGAGCTCCAAAATGGAAGTAAGCAATGTGAAAGGTGAAACATGGAATAGTGCCAGGAAGAGGTGTCAGTAACCAGAATTCTGTTGTTCCTGCTTTAACCTCAAGCATACTCTTGAGAAGAGTGGGAGAGTTGTGTTGACAGCTTACTATTATCTTAACTCACAGTCAAGTGCAAAAGAAGACATCATCTTTCACATGGGATCCAGTACCCCTTGGATGCTGCTGTTTTATACACCAGGAGTTATCATGTTATCTAGGAGTAATAGAGCTCTGGGCTTTATTACTGGATCCTACCAGTGTAACTGTGAGCACTCACGTGAGAAAATGAGGATGGTTCTTCACAGTTTCCTCCAGTTTCTCCAAGAAGGTTGTATCTGTGGCATCCCCAGGTCTCAGGCACTCTTCATCCTACAAACACACCCGTTCCAGTGCTGAGTTCCTACTGTTCTCAGAAGAGCACGATGGCACAGTATGTCACTGTTCAGTGTACCCGTGCTCTTCCCACCTGCTCAAACAGCCCTTGTATAAGATGAAACCATTATTTTCGGGGTTCTTGCCCCTGGTTTGCATTACACTACCCCAGTTTTTTTGTTGTCAACTCACCAGAATAGAAATGATGCCTTTGAACTTCTCCTCCACCAAATCACAGATTATTTTGTTATTGAAATAGTGAACCGGTTCCCACTGCAAAGACAAGAAACCACATTTGGGTGAAAACTGTTCTGGCCTGGAAAAAAATGAACATTTCAGAACATTTCGGGCAGCACCTCACTAAAAGAATCTTTCTGTCAACTTGGAAACAAAGCTTTTTCACTCCTGAATTTGTCTTTCTAAGGTTCCCTTTCGAAAGCATCTTTTTGAAGCAGAGACAAAGACTGCAGTGGCATTACACACTTTTAGCTGTATCATACAAAGTACTTCAGAAAGAAAGGAAAAAGGAAAGCTCTTTAATTCATTTACTTTAGAGACCACGATAAATCAGCAGCTCCTTTTCTAACCTGAGCTCTGGCCTGCAGGAGATGCTACAAAGGAGAAAGTGGAAGTGATGACAGTGGCTCTTACCGCTATGCCTTCTGACTCGTACTCCTCTTGTTCTGACTTTAATGTGAGCTCTATGAAGAGCTGCTGCAATTTTTCATTACAATAATTAATACAAAACTGCTCAAAGCTGCAAACAAAAATCAGAGAAATAATCACTAACACTGTACCACAAGTAAAAGAAGCTCTAATCAGTGGGCAGCAGCATGAATCTCTCAGTGTAAATCAAGAGAAATAGAAGAAAATTGGGGAAATGTTTATTTATTAACTATAAATTAGATCTTAGGCAGAAGCTCTTCCCTGTGAGGGTGCTGAGGCGCTGGCACAGGGTGCCCAGAGAAACTGTGGCTGCCCCATTCCTGGCAGTGCTCAAGGCCAGGTTGGACACAGGGGCTTGGAGCAAGCTGCTCCAGTGGAAGGGATTGGGACTGGATGAGCTTTAAGGTCCCTTCCAGCCCAAAGCAGTCTGGAATTCCATGATTAATTACTTTGTGCGAGACCAAACCCAGACGGCCTCGGAGACAGCTCATTTCACAATGGAGAGAAAGACCACAATGAATGAAGTCACAAAGAATTTACTCAAAACTCGGTGATACGGATTGAAACAAACCTGTTGTGCTGGAAAACCTCAAATCCATAGATATCGAGCAACCCTAGAACTGTTGTGCTTCTCCAGCCTGGAAACTTTCCTTCCTGCAACAGGGTAAAAAATATATGTTGCTATGTGCTAACAACTACGATCCATCACTGGATCTTACCCACTTAGTTACAGCATTTACTCCTCACCCTCCTCTTAATGGAAGACAGATTAGTTTAGAAACCTTTGTAGAGTTTGCAGCTAAAAGATGTAGAGTTTCCTTTCACATTTGGTTGGATACCAGCAAACAAAAGGTTCATTTACCTCATAAGCCAGAGACTTGTTAACCTTGTTCACCAGCCAGGAGAAAGTGCGTCCATATATTGCCTTGGCAAGAGCATCCCTTGCATAGGCTGCCTGCTCCAGGTTTAGGGGGCTGATGAGCTGTGTGCAAGAGGAGACAAAAGCCACTCAACAGCCATCCCCCTAGTTCACTCCACAGCACCCTGTCCAAGCTCAGCTCCCATCACTGTCACCATTAACTTGTGGGATCCTGCACTGACAACCTCCTTCAACATGGGAGGAGTGAAATACTCAGTTCTGGTAAGAGCTGATGGTGTATCATTAGTTGATTTAATTCCACGTGCCTCCCAGATCCCCAGATCATGTTCTTACCTCTTCCCCTTTGGCTATGATCTTCTTGTGGATCAATGCATCTCGAAGAACGGAGCCTTCAACTGCTAGAAGCTGCAAAGCAATAAAGCATTAAAGTCATTAACAAAGCAGTACATTCTATTTATTAGTAATAGCTTTAAGACACCAGAAAGGTTGATCCTAAAACCCCAGTGAAACAACCCTTTATTTCCCATTCACACTGCAAGACTTCTGCAGCATCAGTCTGTCCTGCTCACCAGCAGTGATACGACCTAGCACATAAACTGGTTTGATAGTTCTGGCCCAAAGAACTGAGTTTGCAAAGCCACCAGGGTTCTTCTTCCTTTAAAACTCCTCTCTGGAATAAGTCTACTGCTATCCCACTGCCTGAAGGTGAACATCTCAAGTCAGCAGTGGATCATACATGGATATAAGTTGTTAACTAAAGGGGGTTGATGTTAATATTTGCACTTTGTTTAGGTCAAATACATTTATGGAAACTTCCAAATCATACTCTAAATGGGATCAAGTTCTAAATATGGAAACCTCCACAACTGATTTTCCTGCAATGCCTCTCTCCCTGGTGATACTCACCCTAGCCAGGTATTTGATCTGATTCTCTGTGGTGACCTGAGCATTTCCTTGCTCATCAGCAGCAAACTGCACGTTCCCCAGATGCAGGACACTGGCCACAACGCTCAGCAGATCCTGCAGAGCAACAATCAGGATGATGACAAGAAACCACAGTGGCAAAGGGCAGGGAGTGAGATTTTGGTGTTAGTAACACTTTACAAGGAGATTTTGTGGTTTTTTCCAGGGTTTTTTCAGAGAATACATCCCCTCTGAACACTGCAGAAACAACAAATCAAAGCTGAAAACATTCCTTTATAGGTAGGAAAAGCAGCTCTGCTGTTAAACATCCTACCTCCACCTCATTGTCCTTGAAGCTTATAATGGATAGAGCTCTTCGCACGATCTTCCAATCGTTTTTATCATTTATGGAACTGACCCTTGCACAGTGACCCTAAAAAGACACAGTTTGATCTAAGTAAGTTATTGTCAAAGATGCATTACTCATGTTCAAGGTGTTTCTTTTTATAGCAATGTTATTTCTGAAGTGAGGGAAGGAAACTAGAGTCAACTGAGAATATACTGATGCTACCATAAAACAACACTGTAAGAGGTACTGGTTAATACACACCTTCACTAAGTAGTGATACTGTTGTGGGTTCTTCTCGAGGCCCAGCCTTCGCAGCAAGTCCTCTTCCCCTCCTTCTAGCAGCTGGTAGAAAATGTGGAAGTTCCTCTCTCCATGATTCTGGTGCACAACTCGGGATTTCTCCAGGAGGTAGTTCAAGATGTGGCCCCCGACAGGAGCCCCCTAAATCAAGCCAGGTACATTGAATTAGCTCATGAATGTAGAGGAAAACATTCCTGCCTCTTGGTGGGCTATTCAAAGACAAACAAGATGGGAAACAACAGCCTACAAACAGAAAAGAAGCTGTCATTTTGTATCACAGGGGCAATTTGAGTTCTGAGGTGTATGCAAAACGAGCTGTCAGGTGACAATAACATGCCATGGCTACAGCACACACTGAATAGGATCCTGTTTGTGTAGAATTCCTTCTCAGAAGGAATTCAACACAAAGAAGAAGCAGCAGAACTGTGAGTGTGGAGGGATTATGAACCGAGAAGCTTAAATGACTGCAGCATGGTGAGCTACTCAGTTCTTGCACTATGTTCATCCTCACAGTGTGGAGCAATTTGGATCAGAATGGAAGGAAACACTGTGCAAAGTTACACCTGACAGAGGTTATCTTCAGATTACAGCTAGGAACAGAGACCTGCTGTGACTAGGACCAGTTCTGAAGTGTAACACAGATATTAAGTTACCCTGTAATCAAACTGCACATCCATGTATTTCCCAAATCGGCTGGAGTTGTCATTCCGAAGGGTTTTTGCATTTCCAAAGGCCTGAAATGACAACAATTCAGAGAAAAAGGAGTAAGCATCAAGTAAGATTATTTATAAACACTTTGGTGAAGCTGCCAGTTGCTTATTTACAGCTATTAAAGCCTCGAGTTTTCCTTTTTGCAAGAGCAACCAAGGAGGAAACAGATTGCAACCCAAATTCCAACACTGATCATTATACCCACTGCAAGCACTGCAGATGGAATATCCCTCTAAAAACATTCCCATCACCCAAGCAAGCTTATTTGAATGCCAGTTCGCTGCTGACAACATATGTCATGTCTGACAGCCTTTTCAAAGCTTCCTCTTTGATGACAGCTATTTGCTTTCAGTCACCCACAGCTCTGCTCGCAGTAGGCAATGCCCTAATGGGCTGGGGCTATTCCCTCTCACAGGGAGCACCTTTCCCAGTGCATGCAGCACACAGTGGATACGGAGCTGAAACATCAAAGGGAACTACAAAGACAGCTCAGGACTGGACACTAGAGGACACCACAGCACTGGGAAACGCACCCACAGATGCTTGTATCAGAGGGCAGCTGCCCACAGCCCATGTGTCCACTTGTGGCTTTACAAACTCTTCCCACGCCAAATGCTTCTATCCCAGCAGCCCAGCTATTCCAGGATTGCTCCTGGTGGACTGGAAAGGGTGAGCTCAGCTGCAACGGCCCCGTCTTTGCCTTGGAAGCAGAGTGGGATTCCCCTGCGTGTCGTGTGAACAATCTGCCCCACATACCATGAACCAGTGTTCATTCCCAGGATACACTTATCCCACCATCCTCTGTGCGCTGACAGCTCAGTCCTGCCCAGAGGAGTCCATCTGCCCCCGCTTCCTCTGCTGGGAAATGTGAGTGCTGCTGGTGTGAGTCAGTGACTCCAGGTCAAGCTTCCAGCCTTACCTCCAGGACAGGGTTGGATTGTAACAGTCGGTCCTTCACGGTTTCCACCTGCTGACTGGCTGGGCAGGTCACAGCATAGTACTGCAGGATCTTCTTGGTGGCCTCTGTCTTGCCAGCCCCGCTCTCCCCCGAGATGAGGATGCACTGATCCTTCCTCTCCGTGCGCAGGGAGCGATAGGAATTGTCTGCAATAGCGTAGCTGAGGGACAATGATGACCAGGGGTTAGGGTGTTTCTATGAGTGAAGGGCAGAGACTCCTCAGCCAAGGCCAATCCGCAGAGGGAACTCTTAGCAGAGGCACCTCAAGTATGTGCTCATGGGCTGCATGCTGGGGATGACATCTCTCTACACATCCTAACCACCGAGCCAAGTTTCCGCAGGGTCATAGCCCAAATCTATCAAATCCCTTTGAAAACTGTTCTTTTTGACTCTGACAACAAATGTTCCTGTGGAAGATGACTAAAGCATGGAATCCCAGACTGGTTTGGGTTGGAAGGGACCTTAAAAGCTCATCCAGTTCCAACCCCTGCAACAGGCAGGGACCCCTTCCACTGGAGCAGCTTGCTCCAAGCCCCTGTGTCCAACCTGGCCTTGAGCACTGCCAGGGATGGGGCAGCCACAGCTTCTCTGGGCACCCTCACAGGGAAGAGCTTCTGCCTAAGAGCTCAGCTCAGTCTCCCCTCAGGCAGGTTCAAGCCATTCCCCTTGGCCTGTCCCTACAAGCCCTTGTCCAAAGCCCCTCTCCAGATTAATGGTGCAGATAATGGTGCAGGCAGAGTTACTTTTCTAAATACAGAGGATCTCTCAGCATTGGTCCTCTAGGACAAAAAAAGTTTTACATTCAGGAAACATCTTGTTTCCCATCAATCTTTAATCCAGTTTATCTTTGAAGTGATGACACACTCGGAAGGTCACAACTGCACTTTCCTATCTGGGTGGCTCCAGAACAGTCCAATCTCTCTCAGCTCCAGGAAGAACTGGATGAGCCAGCACAGACTAAGCAGCATCCTGGAGGCTACATAAACTATCACCAACTCAGGCCAAATACAACCCAAAATACTGGATACTTCCTCCTGCCTGTACCCAGACAGGTTTATTGCTGCTGGTCCTGGACCCAGCTTCTTCCTTTGCTGCTTTTTCTTTCACTTCTCTTTTCCTCCCCATGCAGACAGGATCTTCTATTGAGAACCACACACACTTTTCTAACATCAGAAAGCAGGAAGATGACTCTGGCAATGGTGGCAGCTGCTTATAGAGGGGAAAGACCAGATAGGTGTGATGGAAGAGGTTAAAAGAGGAGCATCAGCCCTTTAGGGTGCACTCATAAGACCACCAGGCCAGTATTTTCAGCTGGTGATCAAGCAGATATCCTGCTTCGTGCACTTCACAACCCTTTTCTTTAACTCTCATGCTGTGAAATTAATTAGAATTAATCACACCAAAATAACTGCTGTGGCCTTCTCAAGTCTATTAATACTTGGTGCTAAGGCAACACCAACGAGCTCCCTAGCAACACAACTGCACACTCACCCCACCAAATTCAGCAAGTCCTTCTCTTCCCATCCAAGTTCTGTCTCCACAGTGTGTTGAAAACAGTTGAATACATGTAAATCTAACTAAAGAACTGCCTCTACACTGCACTGGGGGTTTCACAGCACTGGAAGGGAGCAGTCCTGCATACAGAACCCCTTTACTTAAAGATGCTTATGGCCCATTCCCAGTTCCCATCTCTGGCAGTTTTCATCAATCCATTAAAAAGCATTAAAGACACTGGCACAGGGTGCCCAGAGAAGCTGTGGCTGCCCCATCCCTGGCAGTGCTCAAGGCCAGGTTGGACACAGGGGCTTGGAGCAAGCTGCTCCAGTGGAAGGGGTCCCTGCCTGTGGCAGTGGGTTGGAGCTGGATAAATGAGCCAGGTTAAATCATCCCCCATACAGGTCCACACAAAAAGCCTGAAACACCATAAAAATCCCATTTTTATCCTAACAAACACAACTTCAAGTGCTCAGACTTTCCCAAGTGATGGTGTTTCTCTCCCTCTCTGTGCTTGCAGCGCATTCTCTTTTGCTTACTCTCTTGGGCTATGTGCCAATAATAAGAAACAACTCAAATAGTTTGTTCAAAAATAATATCATTTACTCTTTCAAGATGTCTTTAAAGAAAAAAAACCCTCCAAGAGGTGCCCAGAATTTGGTCCTGAAAAAAAACCCCAATTTGGAGCCAAATGTCCTCAGCTCTCGTCATCTTTCTTTCAGTCAGACAACAGAAAAGTCAAATGCTTTCAAAAATAACTTTAAACCTCAAAGTTGGTTGTTGTTTTTTTTTTTTTCTAAATGGGAAATTGGGAATGCTCAGCAGGCCAGACCATGTAAATAAATACATTCCTTGTTCCAACAGGCTGGTTGGAACAGACGGTAGCGTAGCAACCAGGGAAATACCAGATAAATAGTGGTCACGCAGTAAGAGCCAAGGTAGGAAAGAAAGCACCACACTCCCAGACACACTCCTTTGCCCTGTGCTGAAGGAGCAGTGTAAAGGAGGGAAACACAGCCCCCAAGTAACCCTGGAACAATGAACTCCTGTCCTGCCAGGACTGGGTAAGCAGCTCTGTTCTTCCAGCCAGGAAGGAACCAACTCCCTTTCCAAATACTGCTCTTGCAAAGGCAACTCATCCTCTTTGGAGAGAGGAACAGGAATAGAAAGAGCCGTACACCACACCCTCCACAGGAGCCTTTCTATCCCTGTGCTTTTTAGTGCTGCATGTGGGACAAGGAACAGTCCTCTGTGCTTGTTTTCACATGTCATTCCTGCACACGCCTGCGTGGGAGCAGCACAAGAGCAACTGTTTACCCACAGGCCACTCACAGGTGAGGAGAAACTTCATAGAAGCTGACGCCACGGTATCGCTCCATGTTCTGCTTGCTGTAGATTTCCAGTTCCTTGTATGGATTAACAGACACCAGAACTGAGCCAATGTACGTCTGGAAAAGAGAACATGAAGCAGAGAGGTTACAGAAGGTCTGGCTGCAGATGCTCCAAGAGACCAGACTGCTCTGAGGGCCGGGTGTTGTTGACAAGGGCTGCCTGCCCCAGTGTGCTGGGGATGCTGCTGAGGGCCTCCAAAGAGGCCAAAGGTGCTGAAGAAGCGACCTCTTAGCACAGTGAGAACAACACTGCAGGAGTTACACTTGACATGTTATCCTTGCTGGATAAACAGCACCTGCAAGTGGGATTAGTGCATTATTTCTGATATATCGTTCAGGATTGAGTTCAAGCCTGAGGTTGCTGAAAGCCCACCACAAAGTGAATTTATGAAATGGAAGGATGTGGTGTGAGTTGGATTTTTAGTGCTGTAAATGCCAGCAGACCTCAGCTAGAGCACTGCAGTGAGTCCCTACATCCGTTAATGTGGCAGGAGCCCACACTACTTCTGACCCAAGCAGATACCACCACCTCCAAATCCAACTGCAGAGCAAAGCTACGGCCCACCGTCTGCAGCAGCCACCCCAATGCAGGTGACTGAGGAACACTCTGGTGTCTCACTCTGCTACTCACATAGATCAAGTTCTCCTTGAAGCGCTTCCGCAGGTTCTCAATGAATGCTGCTTCACTGGTGAAGTTCTCAAGCAGGACAAAGTCCTGGACGCCCACCCGGTCACGGGCAGTCAGAGCACTCTCCATGGTCAGCCGAATGCCGTTGGCCCCCGCTCCCTGCAACCAAAGCAGAGCAAGGTTGGGATATCCATGGGTTTCTTATCTGCAGGTCACTGAGTCCACAAGAACCATTAACCACAGTTACCCATGGACAACCTATAAACAGGAGAGGAAGTTAGAACAACCCCACTACTACTCCATGTTGAGCTTCTACGTGGTGAAAACGGTCACCATATACTAACACTTCATCAACTGGTTTCTCCTAATTGCTTTGGTGGAAAAGTTCTTCTTAATTTCTAATAACTTTCAAGCAGTCATTTCATAAGGAGAATAAAACTTGGATTTCCCTTAGGAGTGGGACTGAGATGTGTTCTCTCTGCTTGTCTCTCTCACTTCATAACGGGAAGTCCTTTCGAGGTGAGGAATCTTTTATGACTCATGGTGATTCATCTCATGAGCAAACAGCTTCACGCTGCTGACCAAGTTAAAAGCTTTAGCAAAACACCCAATGGGAAAACTCAGAACTAACGAGAAGTGGGCACTTCTGCATCCCATGCCACTGAATCTAGGCTGTGACACTAACATCCATCCCATGCGTCAAGCAGCTTCTACTCCCTGACCCTCTTTTAAAGGTTACATTTTCAACACGACATGGTTCAGATACAACCATCTCTGCACAACACAGGTCTGCTGACTTCTTACTCCACTCAGCCTCATGTACTAAAACAGGCAGAGGAAATGTGCACTAAAAGTGACTCAGTCGCTGCTTGCAGGGAAAACTTCTACACAGCAGACAGATGATGTACAGGGCACAGAAGAGATGCTCCAGAAATCAGAGACAGGAGATCCAACACAGTAAACCATTTGCCTCACATCTGTGCTGAAGGATCTGCATTTCCTTATCACATTCTTAAATCCCTCTTACTTTGCAAACTCCTCACAGCAATCACCCTTCTCCTAAATCATTTCCCTACAGCACTAATGCGTTTCAGAGAATCTATTATTATACTCTGGGATGTTGCCATCGCTGGCACAAACACCACTGGTGCCTGCTCCTCACAGGCTAACAGCAATACCCAGGCACCCTCTCCTGCAGCGGTGTTGCAAACCAGGAATGCCAGACCCCTACTGCAGCACTGTCATCCAGCCCCCAAACCCTGCACAGTGATGGAGATGTTTTTGCTGACTCACGTTGTCAGGTAGTTCCTTTCTGCTCCTTCTCAAGATATAATAGTGGTCAGAGCACGGGGGCTGATGGAGTGCAGGAAACACAAAATGAAAACAACCTTGGTCAGAAGAAAATTTACCTTCTGTTTTGTTAAGTAGTAATAAAGGTAAGACCCAGGCAAGTATAAATTTGGGCAAAATTCCCTCGATCTGCAGTTGTTTAGACTTACCAACCACTCACAAATGCAGTTTTACCTGTTTCTTTAAGTTGTAATTGTCTTTCTTCCCAAAACCCTGGACATAAGTGATTGTGGGGAACTAGCAGCTTTCAGGAAGACAAATCAGTTCCTCCTGGAACTCTCAAACCCAGACCCACTCTAATGGCTCAAGCATCACAAAGAAACATTCATTTTAATTTCCCTTCTTATTTTTTCTGAGTAGTCTCCTGGATTTCTAAGCTTTGAAAGATGCCATTTGGGAGGAATTCTGCACATACTGTCACTAAGTAATCTTCCTAAAACACCCCCAAACTTTCCAAGCCAATTCCTCCACACCTTCAGCAAAGCGCTTTGTTGTCTCCTTCACCCCTCTCTGCCAAGGCGAAGAGGAAAGGGGGAAGCCCTGGAGAAGGAAGGTGGTGACATAAAGGACAACACTGGCAAAAGAAATAGAGAACTATCCCATACAAATAAGCTCTGCCTAGAGCAGTGCAGTCCTGAAGCAGATTTTGAGCAAAGATAATGGCAATAAAGGTAAAACCAGAAGAAAATCACCAGTTTAAGTGGGCAGGGTCATGAATACGACTGAGGAGAAACTTCCACCCTCACACACTTAATCCAAGTTTATATAATCCTAAAGACTTCCACAGAAAATGTCACTTAACAGCTTCAGCAGCTCCTTCATCAGCCACTCCCTCAGCTTCAGGACACACTGATCCCAGCGGCACGCATCCAGCCTGAGGAAGGAGCAATCCATCCTACTCACAACACACAAACTGCTTCCTCTGGGACAGGCAGTTAAAGGCTGAGGAGCTTTCAGTTTCTTCTCGTTCAGCTCCAACCTCTCTTTGTGAGAACGACCTCATACCTGAAATCTGCAGTCCAAAACACCCCAAAAGCAAGCAGCCTTTCAGCAGTAGTTAACTGTGACCCGGTTACGCAGTCAGATCCTCCACAAGATCATTTTAACCACAGTGTTGTACCCTCCCAAGCCTAACTCCAATGCAAATATGAAGAGCAGTCATAAACCACAGCTGAGCAATACGTGATTCTCCATGCCAGCATTTGCTCATTTGCTTTACTGCTTATGTCCAAGTCTGCCACCAACTTAAAACATCTATGTTAACTATGTAGTTACCAGTAACTTCAACAGATGCAGGGTAACAGGAGGTGAGAATAACCCTTTTTCTTGCAAAATGGAAACAGAACAGTAAGAAAGGGGGGAAGGAAGACACTATTTAGCAAAAACTAATCACAATGATGACCATATGTTCCTGCATATGATGAGTGTGACAGTAAGGCCCTGAATACATTACAATAATGGAAACGTGAAGCATCCGGTGCTAGCAGGCAGCCTTCAAATCTGGTGGCTGTAAATTAATGCTAGAAAACCCAGTCAGGGGGCTTAAATAAGTGAGTGGAGCTAATTAGCCATTAAAGCAGTTTGCCCACGGACAGCACAGGCTCCCTCAGTGCCTCTGCAGTGGATGGATTTCTCTGTGCCAAACCGCCTCCGGGTGATGTACAGCTCATTTCCAACGTGCTCTGTGAGAAATCAGCTTGGGCAACTCTGAAAGCCCTGTGACAGGGAGTGTGTATTCCAGGCAATGAGGAGAACAGAGGCTGTGAGGGTCTGGTTAGATCCTTCCTTGTGAAAATCAGTTCTTGAAGCTGCTAAGAGAGTTCAGTGCTAAATGAGCTGCTGTGACAGGGAGAAGACAGGCAAAAGGCCCATCCCACAGCCCTCTGTGCAGCTGCACCCTTTGGCTTCCACCAGCTCCAGTGCTTGTGCAATAAGCTACACTGGAAACCTGACAGGGATTAAAATTAGCCTGGGTTTGGGTTCTTTTATTAGTATTATTTTAATCCAGGCCATTTTCCCACACTGGTTCTACACATCCTCACTCGCAGCGGCTGACAGATGATGGTGGCACAAGATTGGGAACCACAGTGGAGACTGAGAGGAGGGAATATTGCAGCATCAGGGCCAGTTCCTGCTGGGTTTAAGTGCTGGTGAAACTACCACCAAAGAGGCAAGTTAGATGTAGCCTAACAGCTCACCACCACCAAACCACACACAGTCTTTGTCTCGCTGGCATGTGTTCATGCAAGCAATTACCTGTCTTGAATCAATGCAACTTGCTAAATCAGCTAAATAAAGCACAGGGGAAAAAAAAAGAAAGGTGGTAATTTTCTATCAAGGTAGTGAGCTGAATCACCATAACCATGGGATCATGGAGTGTCAGAGCCAGGGCAAGGAGGGAAGGGAGTGCAGGTGCCCATTGACAGTAACAACCCATTAACTCTACCATGAGCAATGTGACCCTACCCATAGGAACCAAAAGGAGGAGCAGGCTAAGGATCCCAGGCTTCCTAGGATACACCATGCTAATGCCACCCCAATACAAGCTGCAAAGAGGGAATTGCAAAAATCTGAGCAATCTCCAGCTGATCTTGGTGCCTTCCTCTCTCAAACTTGCTTAAAATCACAGCCCTTTACTAAAATCACATCCTGATGGTCACTCCTACTTGAGAGAGTACAACCTGCCACAGCATTTCTCATACCCACCCCAGGGCACAGCTCCTAGGGACTCATTCCCACACTATTTTAACCCACTTTTTGCTTTTAATCACTTTTCCAGAGCTGTTAGCACAACAGTGGCTCACGGCCAGGGAAGGAAAAGCCGTCGCTCCTGAATGATGGGGCCCAAGCCAGTGCAGTTACCAAAGCGGCACCACTTCCACATGCCTTTCTCTTCCGTGTGATTAAGCTTTGGGAAAGACTTTCTGCTGGTGTGAACTGGTGCTGAATGCAGCCTGCAGAGCCAGGTTTACCTTGGCTCAGGTTCCAGCTTTTCTTTGTATTCATCCAAGAGTTAACAAGACCAGAAAATACCCCGTCACAAATGAGAGTTACAAAAGCACCCAAGACTACACCAGAGTCTCCTAAGGTGAACTGGTAAATCTCTGACATGCTACTTGTGAAGGTGTAAACCAGTAGTTCTCTTTTTAAACTGTGCTAAAAGAGTATGATAAAGACTTTCCCCTGCTTAAGATCAACTCCTGGGATGGTTTGGATTGGAAGGAACCTTAAAGCTCACCCAGTTCCAACCCCCTGCCATGGGCAGGGATGCCTTCCAATAGAGCAGGTTGTTCCAAGCCCCATCCAACCTGCCAGCCACCAAGAGATGAGGAAGCATTCAGTAGCTCAGGCAACTCCCAGTCCTTCCTGGAGCATCCATGAGTGATGCTTGTGGAAACACCTGAAGCACTCCAAGTGAATGGTCTTATACGGAGCAGGGAAGCATTGTAGTCATCTGATGTAGAAAGAAAGTCACAACAAACACGATTTCTGCTTCAATGTCTGAAGATGTATGTTTGACTATTTTCCTCTGACAAGGAATTAACCAGTGTCCATCCAGCAGAGCAGGAGACTTGCACTAAAACCCCCTCAGGAAGTGGGTGCTGTATGGAAAGAGGCAGCATCTTTATCTTGGTATGGAGTGGAAGATGATTGATCTGGAGGCTCCAGAAATAGTTACAAAGCCAGGAACGGAAGAACAGGCACGAACCAAGTAGGAGTGGGAAGGGAAATTCAGATTAGATTCGGGAAGACAATGAGGAGTCTGAACCAAGAACGAACTTCTCATGGGGAGGTGGCAGTGAAAACAC